TAAGTGAGATTCGATGTTCTAAAAAAAGGGACCTGTCGTTTTTTCGATAGTAAATGATAAGCAACTTTATATATTAAATATGAAAAAACATATATATTTTACAGATTCACTTTGTGGAAGTAGATACATTGTTTATTTCTTACTTTATAAAAGGAAAGCTCATTCTGGATAACAAATTTTTAATGTTTAGAAAACCTTTAATTCTGAATAACTTCTCCCACCTCAATCCCCATACACCAACGCTTAAACTTATATGCATAGAGCAGCCCGGTCCTCCGGGCTGCAATAATACCATGTCAATCGGCAATCCTCGGCTGACTCCGCTACGCTCCATTCAAACATGTCATCCGAGGAACTCCGAGTGATGCCATGTGCCCAAGTAATCTCGCGAGATTTAGAGCTTTCTCGACTCCCCGCAAAAGAGCGGTAGTAAGTTAGATAACTGTGAGGTACTGGCAATATCACGATTAGCAGACTTCTTTCTGTGGTAAGGGTGAATAATGCCCCCCATAAAATACTGACTGGGGTGGGGATGGGGGTCATTTTACGACGTCAAAAAATTACCCTTTTGTCCGTAGAAAAGGTGACAATCACCCTAAAAATCTGCACATTCCACTTGAAGAAAAATGACCCCCGTAGAATAATGACCCCTTGTGGATTAAAGAGGATTAAAGTTGAAAATTTTAGGGGGCAAAATAAAAATAATAAATCAAGAGACCTATTGGTTTGGAGCTAACTTGAGCTAAATTGATAATAAATCGATGATATTTTGATCTCATTACAATATGCAATTATTGCTATTTTTAGATAAAGACAATTTCTTAGAATCTAGAGGAGTATAAAAGAAATTATTCGAATATGAAAGAAAGAGAGCATTGTCTTTCGATTTTGCAAAATCACTGATCGTCCTGACAGAAAAAAAAACAACAATGATTATTTTATTATATGATTCATCGATTAAATTGATAAATACTGATTAAAATATGCATATTTAATAAATGTAATGCAGTTTTGTTGCAGGGTTTTTTTTACTCCATTTGAAGCGGATTGGAACAAAACCATTGACATGGGAAGATGGATTCTATGTGTCTGAATGTTATGTTCACCTTGTCCATTCAAGTAGGAGAGATTTTTTAACTATACTATATAAAAAAGAAGGTAACGAAAATTTCAATGAACATTTTTCAAATTAAAAATGCCTAAATTTATATTCAGAAAAGGGTTGGGGTGCGAACCCTCCTTCTTTTCCAATTCATAGTGCCTGAATGATATGTTAACTTGAGTGGAATTGAGATGCATGTAAAATAACTTTTCAGAATTTTTTTCAATCTGTTCACCTGGAAGGTCAATAAAATTGTCTGTCTTTAATTATACATGTATTAAAACAATATACAGAGTCACTGTATTGAAATGTTTCAATTTTGGATGACAAATTAATGTAGCACTGTTTTAAAGTGGATAAAAATACATTCCTCTAATATGTATCCAATTCTCAGACGACCATGTTAACATACTGGAATGTATATTATTCTTGGATTCTTCTTTATTACTTCTACATGTATACTTTGTATCTTGAAAAGAAATTCCCATAGAGTAGACCACTGTTTATAAATAAAATTGAATGCACATACCATTGTATATTTTTCAGACATGCAGAAATTTTATGTCCTTCGTATGCACGTCTGCTTCATATTTAGACCTTCTACTTACTATAAAAGTAAAAAAAAAAAGTTGAGAAAGTTGAGAAAAAAAGGCATCCCTCTTTTCAGTCATTTAGCTATAAATGTCTATTATCAGTCAAATATTCGAATATGAAAGAAATGGAAGACAGTCGTAGAGGGAAATTCGTTAAGAGTTATAACCAATAGTTGCCGTGTTGCGATTTTCCAAAATGTGTTTGAAAATACAGAAATATGCATATAAAATTAATGTAATGCTGTTTTGTTGCATTTTAATTGCGCGCTCGTCCATTGTTGGTCAAAGAGGTCATAAAAAAGAATTTAAACATTCAATGAGGTTCAAACATTCTGATGGAAACTTAAAAGGATCATTTTTCAACTGGGTCAATTTTTTATAGGACGCACGCATAAGAAAATGACCCCTCGGTGGTTCTTTTTCTACAATGAATCATTATATTCTACTGGTGGGGATCATTTTTGTCGTTAAAAAAATTACACCCCCCCCGGTCATTATTCTTTAGAGGTCATTATTCGTCTTTACAGGTGTATTCATATGAAACATAATTCATTTAAATACATCTACATGCAAAACTGGAAAAAATGTACTAAATGTAATAATTTGAAAATATTTATCATGCGGTTGTTCTGCCATGTGTCTATCTGTTGGATCGATCCCTTGCACTCTCTAAATGTTTATTTTCTTATTAATTATTTATGTTTGATATAATTGTACTGTGACAATTAATAGTCTCAAAGAGCAAGAGCCACTTTGACCCTTATTTTGCCCTAGAAATTTCTGAAAAATCAAAACCGCTCAGTTTAGGTTGCAAATGCAGTACGTAATTTATCACTTGGGTCGAGTGTTGGTGATCATGTACTTAGTATCTATTAATCATGACGTAATTTTTATGCGCTAGGATCGAAAGATCCGGGGCGTATATTGTTTTTGTCCTGTCTGTCTGTCTGTCTGTTTATCTGTTTGTCTGTTTGTCTGCAAACTTTAACCTTCGTCATAACTTTTGAACCAAGAAAAAAAGAGACTTCATATTTGGTATGCATACTCCACTAATTAAGCTCTTTCAAATGACACCAAGGTCAATGACCTTGTGACCTTGACAGTGACCTATATGCTAAAAATAGTTTTTTCTGCAAACTTTAACCTTCGCCATAACTTTTAAACCATAAGAGATAGAGACTTCATATTTGGTACATACACCACTGATTAAGCTCTTATAAATGACACAATGTTCAATGACCTTGTGACCTTCACAGTTATGTTCACCATAACTTTTGAAACATGAGAGATAAAGACTTCATATTTGGTATGCTTACTTCACTAATCATGTTATTTCAAATGATACCAAGGTCAATGACCTTGTGACCTTGACAGTGACCTATATGCTAAAAATAGTTTTTCTGCAAACTTTAACCTTCGCCATAACTTTTAAACCATAAGAGATAGAGACTTCATATTTGGTATGCATACACCACTGATTAAGCTCTTTTAAATGACACAATGGTCAATGACCTTGTGACCTTGACTGTGACCTATACGCTAAATATAGCTTTTATGACGGCAAACTTTAACCTTTGCCATAACTTTTGAACGAAGAAAGATAGAGAGTTAATATTTGACATGCATACTCCACAAATTAAGCCCTTTCACATGACATCAAGGTCAATGACCTTGTGACCTGACTGTGTCCTGTATGCTAAAAATAGTTTTTTGAAGCTTCACCATAACTTCTTTCAAATGACACCAAGATCAATAACCTTGTGACCTTGACTGTGACCTACATGCTACAAATATGTTTTTTAACTTTGTTGCCGCCGGGTGCTTCGTGTTTCACAAACACATCTTGTTCCTCTAGTCAATGCATTATGACGTCATAAAATGCGTCATTTTCCTCATATCCCGTAAATTCCTTTGAAGTATTTTTTCAATATTTCATAAAGAGCACAACCTCTGATCCAAAATATGATCATACATATTGAAATATCTGTTTCTAAAGATAAAAAAACATGTTTTATTTTTTGGATCGTGGGCTGTGCTCATATTTTAATTCTTTGCTGAAGGTAGTCAAATACACAGGCACCTGAAGTGTGGATAATACACCCCCCCCCCCAACTGTTTAAATGAAAAAAATGTAAGAGTTTCTAATATCTCAAAAATATATAATTTCCCCGTCAAACACATGCATGTATTTTTATCATACCATATAGGGCCATTCTTTGTAAAAAGTAAAATCTGCTTGCATAGAACGACATATATAGATGTGTTTGACGGGGACATTTTATATTTTTGAGATATAATACATGCTTACATTTTTTTCATTATAAAAAGGGGGCTATTATCCACACTTCAGAAATTTTATTACAGGAAATGAAAGCACCAATTAAAGTGTCTACTTTATTTTGATATATTGTATGAAATGGGAAAGAGGGTGATAGTTAATTAATATGTTATAAGTACAGGGCCATATTATGCATAAAGTGAACCTATATCTTTGGAAATACAGAATTCTGATAATTAAATTTAGGCTAATTGTATACTTCCTTATGCATTGTTATGAGAGAATTCGTCTATGGAGTAACAAAATACATGTTATATATATGGGGAAAATACTGAGCCTTTTGAACAATAAAAATTTATATACGCACTTTTTTCACACTGGATCATCTATTCTCCTTCTTTTAATTCGAATATGCCTGAAAAATGAATATATACACATGCCACGCGGGAAGTTAATGAAAATATTGCGTATGAATTAAAGCTTGTATAAAAAAAGGAAGCCTTCCTTTTTCCACAAGCACATGCTCAATATTTATATTTTAAGTTCAAGTGCCCGTGGTAACGCATTGTATAATTTATGTAGTTTAACTGTGTTTCTGTTTTATTATTTTAGGTTTTTAATTAATAGATTGATTTGATTGCTGTTTGGCGCTTTTTATTTTTTTTCCCACAGAGGCTTGCTCCCGGCGTGTATAATGATTATATATTAAAAAAAAACAAAACAAAAAAAACACCATATACGGTAATGATAAAACAACGCAAGACCCAGTGTTTTTTCCATATCACTAACATTTTATAACCTCTGTTTCCTTTTGGAAAGTTTTGGGTAAAGGAATTTTGTAAATGAAATATGAACTATATATGCATGCCCTCAATTTAGTTCTGTTGGTCTTTAATTGTTAATTAATCTTTAGTTAACGCCCCTTTAAACTTTGCTATTGTCTGTCGAACATGACGCGAACTCCGGTTTTTTGCAGTTTTGAACTGGAATTTTCCACTTCTCGAGATTAAAGCCTCGATTGCGTTAAGAATGTTTGGTCACATGACTACTCAATATCGGGTCACGTTTTCTGTTCGGGGAATATATTGTTTATAGTTGCTTGCTGTGGACAGCAAGGGAGATTGCGAAAATGATGAAGCTACGCAAGTGGACTTTTCAATGTGTGTTCAATGCACGACGTCTTCATTCTAAGTATGTCCCCGTTCCGTTATCGATGCAACAATATTTGGAATTTGGTAAGTCATGAAATCTGTAGCTCATTATGAATTCACAGCTGTTTGTACGTTTTACTTTGTAAATTGGAAAGGTTTCATGAATGGACTTTGTATGACAAAATGAATTGGGATAGCTTTTTAAAAGAAAAATTATACAAGGATAAAACAACTGTTGTAAATAAGGCCTAGCTGAAATGAGTGTGTACACGTTAAGAGGTGTGGCGTAAACAACCAATCGTTAGGCTATAAATAGTGCAATGAATTTTCTCCATGACGTCAGAGTTTTTTTTTCCCTTTAGGCAAATTATTTACGTTTTTTAATCGTCAATGCTGCTAATAGACTGGACTAGACAATAAAACCTGAGAACCTGTACATGTAGTCTAATAATTTTAAATGAACGTAAATTTAATTTTACCCTGTTAGTATTGTTGAGTTTATGAACAAAATTATAAATTTATACCCCTATTTGTTAAGATATTGGACGATAGGACAATTTATTTGTAACTTTTATAAACAGTGAAAAATGTCAGTACCAGAGTATTCAACTCGGGGAAAAAACACAAAATGTTAGAAGCCGAGAATACAGAACTGTGTCAAGAATATAATTAAATCATTAAATAGTGGTATGATGTAAGTTTAGGCTTATTAACATGATTAATAAGTGTAGAAAACTGTTAATTTTGCTTCAAGTTCAACAGTCATTTGAAGACTACGATTCCCGCCTTACCTGTCATTATCCTCCCCCAGGTTTGTTTTTCTTCTCCTCGACAGGAGAGTGACACTGCAGTGACTGAACATAACAGTGCGTTTTGAACATTGCAGTCTTGTAATTTATTAAGTTCGTGTTTCGAAGACTAAAAATGATAAGAATAGGATTCATTAAAAATATATTGGGACATTCAAAGAGGCTTGGCCATGTAGTGTCACCAAAGCATCTGTACCGACCCTCTCCTATGTCCCTAGCGGAACTGATCGACTTCGGTGAGTTGACGTTTGTTTTTCCGGTCATGGTCAAGCTGTCCTACATAATAATCTGTTCTACAAAAATAATGTCAACAAACATGCTATCTACTGTTTGTTCAGAATATTTTAGTATTGAACAGCTGCTGAACTGTTTCCATTGTGTGTCCAGATCATGAGATGCTTTACAAAAGATTGAAAAAAGGTGACAACAAAGGCATTAAAATAATATCTTGTGATAATATGTTTTACGGTGTGACCGTTGGGGCGAGCGCAGTTTATTTACTATCAAAAACGTACACATGTACTGTCTATCATTCAAGAAAAAGAAAGCAAAAAGAAGAAAACAAAACTATAAAAAGAAATCATTTCCCAAGCATCGGGATCGAGATTCCAAACTTCTCGGAAGTTTCCGACAAAATCGGAAATACCCGAACCGTTGACGAAAGTATGACGTCAGATGAAAAGTTCTGTTGACTTAGGACGCAAACGCTAGTTTTATGGAAAAGAGATTGCATTTAATCGTTCTTTTCAAGTAATTTGTTGCTATGCACCGCAACATGTTTTCCGAGTTTCACGGAAGAACGACATAACTTCGTCAAAATTGTAAGTTTCCGGTGACGTCATTTGTATCATTTCCGAAGGGCAAGGTGAAGGCCGGTGTTGTGGCATGGGGGTATTTTTTTGAATAAGGTAAGGCTAAATCATTTCGTTAAGATTTCGGTAAGAAACAATGTTCCTTTAATTTTTTTACTATTTTTGATTTATTCGCGCAAAGGACATTGGGTAGTGCAGGAATTCTGGGAATGTTGCACAGAGAAATTTTCATTTTGTACAGATTTCAATCCGAATTTCCTCTGTTCATACACGTTGATCGCCGCGAGCGTCGCTTCGCGACGCTCGCTGCGCTCGCTATAAAGATCTTGTATTTTAATTAAAGGTCAGAAGAAATGTGAGAAGAAATCTTTCCAGTTCCTCAATGATGAAATCCCCATTCGTCTGGCCCACATCATGCGGGAGTTTGAAGACCTTCCTAAAGAACTACTAACCATGAAATCCGTGAAACTCGTACGAAGCTGGTGAGTGAGAATTTGGTCAGAAGTTTTAATCTACATTTGTGGATTAATGTGTCATCAGTGATTGTGAATAAAGTGGTCCACATTTTGTAGTGTTTGTATTGTAACCTGATAACCCTTGGGGTATTTACTTTTTATGTCTGTAGGTTCAGATGATAGGACATAAATAGTACGTCAGTTAGCTGTGTAGAAATAAATATTCACAGGTATATCTGAATACCGTATATCTGGCTCGATCCTGATCGTATGCGAAAATTGTCATCATGGTTAGACGACCCTTCGTCGAGTATGTAGCCAGCTCCTTGAAATGTCCATTCATTTGACACTTGGGCAAAGTCATGTTTACATGCAGTCGTAAATATGAACATAATATTATGTCCAGATATGCAGAAACACCAACAGAATATGAAAATATTAGGTGCCTAGCATTTTCTTAATGATGCTAAGTACATGTAGTAACTAAGGATGCAATTTGGATTTAGAAGTCATATCAAATATTTATGCTGGTTATTTCTCAGCAGGCACTAGGCTAACCTAATAACTCATTAACTGAACATAAACAATATTACTTGGGCCACAGCCTACAGGAAACTTTTTACATTAATTGCTCATTTTGTGGCATATTTTTTTAATAGCAGGTTTTCCAAGTAAAGTGAATTTTCTTGTCCCAGAATTATCCCCTTTTCCAAATGTTATAACTTTGCAACACTTCCACATGGAAAATTTTACGTGAATTAGTTCAGTTTGAATTAATTTACTGTGTATTAACTTACTTCGCATCAGTTCCATGAGAACAAGTACTAAGCAAAGCTAATTTGAATTTACTTCTGCTATTTTTGAGTGAAAAATAAAGGAAAATTGTTAGTCAATAATCACTGAAATTTGTACAGACACTATGACATTAATTACATGTAGAACATTGAATAAATCAATGTGAAGGACATGAAGACACCTTTATTTTTTGGAAGGAGGTTCAAAGGTCAAGATCATTGTTATGACCTCAGGAATTCGTGTTTACTATGACTATTTGAAGACAGATATAGAGGTCAAGATGCAGAACATTTCTTGTGTACACGTATAATATTTAGATGAAGTGTGCAGAACTAAAGGGTCAAGAGTTGAAAGGATTACATAGCATGTGTTTCCTTGATTTGACATTTACATTTGATTTACATTTTTAAAGTACAAAGATAATAAATGTATATTTTTCTCAAACAAACAAATTTTTAGATGACACAAGAGCTCTGGTATTTTTCTTATGCATAAATAAAACATTTTGAATAAACATGCATATCTTAAATTAGGGATTAGTCTATGATATATAGAGATCAAAATGAAAAAATTTATAAAGCGGCACTTGCACACATAGCAAGTTTGTGACAATTTCATTTTTTAGTGAACAATGTGGAATAAAACAATATAAATATATGCATGTTTACAGCATATCTCAATACCCTAGATTAAGGGTGAAACGTTTACTGAATTTTGTAAACGTTTAAACAAACAGCAGTAAACGAAACGGTACCGTTTAAACGGGAGAATTTTTTGTGTTTAATTTTTATGGCTACTTACTCATGAAAAACTATTTTAATAAACCATTCTTTCACTATAATGTAAGTATGAGTTGCCATTACTGTTTATTTGTTGGTTTTTATGACGAAAGAGTAGGAAGCGTCAAAACTGAAACGAGATAGTAATCCTAATACGATATATAAAATTGAGGGTTCTGGTTTACGTTCAATTTTTCAAAGCTCTATATTCAACATTTTACCGTTATAAGCATGATACTTTTAATTTTCTAATCAATAAATTCATTTTAGAACATAAACTTGGAAAAATAAAATAATACATCGCTAGTTTTCACTTCTCGTTAATTTTACGTTTCTGGTATCAATATTTTAACAGAAAAAAATGTTTGTAACAGACACGGAGTGTGTTTTCTTTGGTAAATATGAAATAAAACAACTTGTTTGGATAAAAGGTTTTTTTTCTGATAGACATTGATATTAACCTTCGTGTAAACGTTTACTCAATTTGTAAACGTTTAGAGCATTTAATCGAAACGTCGCTGTTTACACGTGTAATCGTTTCGCCCTTACCCTAGATGTGAAGAATAGTGCAGTGTTTAATCATGTTAATAATCTCTCATGTAATGTTCTAATATACTTTTGTTTGTAAAATCTTGAAATGTCGAAAAATAGAACATTACATATACAACCCACCCACACATAGGAGAATTTTAGGAGCAGAATTTCAGAAATGTTTAGAAATGTTTTCTACAACTTCCTTTTTATCATTGTTGACAACTGATTTCCAGTACTTGTGTACTTGTAACTTGGAGATAAAAATTGTTCATGAGGCAGTGACCTGAAAAATAAGCTTTTCTTATCTTATACACATGTTCTGGCATTTACTCAATGCTGATTATAATGCATTCTGTATTACTGTGGAAGAAAATCTAGCTTTATATCATAGTAATCCATCATTAGTATACACTGTACGTTGCACTTGGCAGTTTTTCTTGTTCAGTACCAGTATATATGTCAGAGGCCCACATGGAAATTGTTCTGTTCAGTTATCTCACATTGTTACTGTTTGTCTACCTACAGTCTATGTGATGTGAGATATCGGAATTCTTTTCAGCCTATGTCATGTGTATGTAGCTATAAACAAGTACAGGTCAAGGTGTGAGGTGGACACTCGTAGATTACCAGGTCAGCCAAAAGATAAAGACTGCAAGGTCAAGTTTGTTGATGTCTTTACGTCCAGCTGTATGAAGTGACACCCCACACCACCCTCCCCCCTCTCCACTCACCATTCCACCCCCTTATTGTTGATAGGCATATTGTTTATCTTTCCCTGATCGGAAATGATGTGAATTATGGGAAAAAGGGGAAAAAGTTGTCAATTTGTATTTCCCTTTCTTTGTCCAAAACGTGAATTTTGGCTTTTTCAGCTAAGAAATTTTGAGCTTTGATTGAGATGAAAGTGTAGGTCTTTATGAGCTAAGTCAAAGAAGTCAAAGTTTAAGGCTAAAATAAAATTCCAGATTTTATATACCTTTCATTAATCTTAATTTGGATTATTTAAAACAGTTTTTTTTACACCTAGGTATGAAACAAGTTTCCAGGAAGTGCAAGCATTTGCAGCCAGAGATCCAGATGATAAAAATGTTTTACAGGAGTAAGTTGTGATTTTAAAGATCAATTCGTGTCTCATATCCTTAAAGCTAACACATAATATTACCAACATGTAGGACTTCAGCAATTTAATGCATCAAGGGATGTCAACTTAAATGGTAAAGCATGGTAGACTTTTGTAATGGACATAGAAAATCTTCTGGAATTGTTCAAAATGTTTCTATTATTAACATTATTAGCTCACCTGAGCCGAAGGCTCAAGTGAGCTTTTCTGATCAAAATTTGTCCGTTGTCTGTCGTCGTTGTCGTTGTTGTTGTCTTCGTTGTCGTCGTTGTCGTAAACTTTTCACATTTTTAATTTTAACCAAACTTGGCACAAAGTATCCTTGGGTGAAGGGGAATCAAGTTTATTCAAATGAAGGGCCACGCCCCCTTCCAAGGGGAGATAATTATGAATTTGTGAAAAATTTATGGCATTTTTAAAAAATCTTCTTCTCCAGAACCGCTGGGCCAGGAAAGATGAAACTCATGTGGAAGCATCCTCAGGTAGTGTAGATTCAAGTTTGTTCAAATCATGACCCCCGGGGCAAGGTGGGGCCAGGAAGTTTTACATAGGAATATATAGGCATTTGAACCACTGGGCCAGGAAAGATGAAACTCATGTGGATGATAAAAATGTTTTACATAGGAATATATAGGAAAAATCTTTAAAAATCTTCTTCTCCAGAACCACTGGACCAGGAATGATGAAACTCATGTGGAATCATCCTCAGGTAGTGTAGATTCAAGTTTGTTCAAATCATGACCCCCGGGGCAAGGGTGGGGCCAAAATGGCCGACCCAAGTTTTACATAGGAATATATAGGAAAAATCTTTAAAAATCTTCTTCTCCAGAACCACTGGGCCAGGAAAGATGAAACTCATGTGGAATCATCCTCAGGTAGTGCAGATTCAAGTTTGTTCAAATCATGACCCTCCAGGGCAAAGGTGGGGCCAAAATGGCCGACCCAAGTTTTACATAGGGATATATAGGAAAAATCTTTAAAAACCTTCTTCTCAAGAACCACTGGGACAGGAAAGATGAAACTCATGTAGGACTTCAAGTTTGCAATTTAATGCATCAAGTTTTACATAGGAATATATGAAAAATCTTTAAAAATCTTCTTTAAATGGTAAAGCACCCAAGTTTTACATAGGAATATATAGGAAAAACTTTTGTAATGGACATCCTCAGGTAGTGTAGATTCAAGTTTGTTCAAATCATGACCCCCGGGGCTAGGGTGGGGCCAAAATGGCCGACCCAAGTTTTACATAGGGATATATAGGGAAAGCTTTTAAAATCTTCTTTTCAAGTACTTCAAAGCTATGATTTGTGATATTTACATGGAATCATCCTCAGGTAATGTTTCTATTATGATGAACGCCTGGAGGGGGGATTTATTTTTTTTTTTTATTTTAACAGTTTCTGGCATTAAGACAGTCAAATAAGAGAAGAATATGTGTAGAATGATTCTTTACCAGTAAAATGTATTTCATATAAAGCTAAAATAATGACTGTTTTCTTGTAGGTTCTCAGTAGCAATACAGAACATACTAAATCGTCACTCCTATGTAGTGGAAACAATGGCACAGGTAAGATAATCATCAAAATAGGACGTAAACAAATGGTGAATGCTAGGTTAATCACCACTATGTCAATAACATAGCTCACAGTGCATGCCTTCACAGTATTGGCTACCAACCAACTCTCGGACAGAATCAACACTTGGACAATCCAGTAAACAGAGATAGCGGAAATGATTTTTAAACAACAAAGATTCTGTATGATGAACATGTATACGGATTGTAGTAAAAGTTCAGAAGTGTTATAATTAGCTGTAATAATGCTAAGAATTGTATTCACTAGTACGTAAAGATAGCATATCATCTCTATGATTTCTGTTTTCAATATGGAATGCTCTGGACATGTATTTAGTTCAGATTGGTAGGAATGCATTCTGTCTGAAGTTGGTTTGAGGAGGATCTATTAAGCAATTTATTGTCTCTCTCAAAGCAGAGGAGAAAATTGCAAGCCAGCTAGTATTATTGGTGATTTTTTCTGAGTGTAATCAACTTCTAGCTGGATGATATGCCCATTCATTTACATGTATGTGATGCATTAATTGTTTTGTATGTGCATGAGGATCATTCATGTTTTTTTGCATCAACTGAAAAAAAGCAGAGCCATTATTTGATATTGAACACCTCTTGGCTTGATATATACTAAAGAGCTGTATTTAGAAGCTTTAGATCATTTTATAAAACATGAACATAGGGAGGAAGGAAGCCCTTTGGCCTAACACGATACTGAGAAATTTTTTTTTAGAATAAAAAACATCCTTGTATGTGCCTGTTTTAAAATTAACTTTGTAGGATATAACTTTCATTTTCACCTTGTAACAAAACAGGTTTTTCTCAAATGCAAGAAACTGCATGCTGGATGCAGCAAAATTATCAGGGGTGCAAGATTCTTAAAAATGATGTGTCCGTAGACTCATGAGTGGACGTGTCTGATAGCCAGAAAATTTTCATGTCTTTGAAATTTGAAGATCTATATGTCAGGATTTGTTCAAGCCACATTGAATCAAAACCTTCCCATAAATATAACGTCACAAAGGTCTTCCAAGAAAGATTTTTTTGTAATTATGTCTTATATTTAAATAGGAATTATATGACTGAATAAAAGATATTTCACAAGAATTAGTCAAAACTCCAATAGCTGCAAACAACATGGTAGTTTTTTTTCAAATTCCCCTTTCAGACGATAATGCTTTTCTGCATAATTTTGTAATTAGACTTTTAAAGTTTTACTGATCCTTCTGTAAAATGCCACAGTACTGACTCTAAATATGTTTTCTAAACTTGCCTTTGTTTTTAGGGCATTATTTCTAAACTTGCCTTTGTTTTTAGGGCGTTATAGAAATGGAGGATACGTATGGATTGGACGGGAGAATTAACGAAAGGATTCAGTATTTCTTGGATAGATTTTACATGAATCGCATCAGTATACGCATGCTTTTAACACAACATGGTGGGTTCAGTTCACAGAAGTGAATCATTTTTTATTGATGAAAACATAATTTTCACATCATTAAGTGAGACTGTCTGCAGAGATGAATTTTATTCTTGCATATTTGTATTACATGTTTATACAAAGATAAGATTTTTGTTGAAATTTTGCATATGATTATATGCAGTCAGTTTTTTGATACTGCTATTAGGTTTTAATAGTGCAAAAGTGAAAATGATTTTCCTTGAATTTTAGTGTATTATATGCCCTATATTCTATTTTAGCTGCATTGTTTGGAAATATAACAAACCATCCAAGACGAATAGGACATATAGACCCCAACTGTGATGTTATAGAATGTGTTAAAAGTAAGTATTTTCTTGTTATGAATGAAAACAAATTAGCAGTAAGACGTATAGGTCATATAGACCCCAACTGTGATGTTATAGAATGTGTTAAAAGTATTATCTTGTTATGAATGAAAACAAAGTAGCAGTAAATAAAAATCTTAGAAAAATATTCAGTCTCAGTTATCATAAAAAAAATTTATAGAATGTACATGTATTCAGGAATAAGAAAAAAAGAATGATCTGAAAAAATCTAGTGAATTGAAAGAGAGTTATGTTACCAATAACATGTAACTCTGTAATAACTTGTAAAATTGATTTATTTTGTAGATGCTTTCTTTTCGGCCAGACATATCTGTGAACATTTCCACATGCAGTCCCCTGATCTGGAGATTATCACAGCAGATGGTCAGCTGTTAATCATTTGTCGTCACATTTTTGTTTATATTGATTTAATATTTAGTAAAAAGCTTGAAATTTAGTATGGATAAAAGAAAAAAATATAATATTCTTTAACAGTTGTTCTTTTTTAGGTTCAAATGCAGTTCATTTTGTGTATGTACCAGGACATATTGAGCATATATTATTTGAGATTTTTAAGGTATGTTTCGTTTGATGTATATATTCATAAATTGATTTACATGCGAACAAAATAACTCTTTCATGGAAACATTTTTGAATTATGTTAATCTGATTTAATGTGTGATATTTTCAGAATGCCATGCGAGCTGTTGTGGAGTTTCATCCAGACAAGATAGACTTGCCAAAATTAAAAATTATTGTATCCAAAGGGAAATCAGACATGACAATAAAGGTAACTAAGGCACATAAAATTACTGAAAACATTATATAACTGTGCTTAATAAGGAAACAAACAAGGAACTTTTATAAAAAAAATTAAATTGAGGAAAATTTCAGTCCTATACAAAGCTATGAACAAGGAAGCCTTTTAGTGTACAGTGTGCTTGGAAAATTGTAAGTGATTCATAAAGGATGTACACTGTACCAAGTAACACTAATCATCACAGTCTGGTTTTCATACTTTTGCCAATTGATTCCCTTTAATGCCTATTGCATGTTTAAATTGACATCAAATGTTTAAGATAATGTTTTTGAAATATAATTTTAAAATGTCAGAAATCTATTAGGAGCTGTAGCTAGTTAACAAATGTTTTTGTAGTTGTCAGATGAGGGTGGTGGAGTGCCATATAAAGACACAGACAAACTGTTCCAGTACATGTATTCTACAGCTCCCCGTCCACAGTATACAGGGCAGGAATCCCCACTGGTAAGTTAAAAATAGATCAATTCTCGCTGCATACACAGGCTAGGAATCTCCACTGGTGAGTTAAAAATAGATCAGTTCTCACAGTATACAAAGGCCAGGAATCCCCACTGGTGAGTTAAAAATAGATGAAGTCAGTGTATACACAGGGCAGGAATCCCACTGATGAGTTAAAAAAAGATCAATTCTCCCAATGTATTCACAGGGCAGGAATCCCACTGGTGAGTTAAAAAAAATCAATTCTCCCAATGTATTCACAGGCCAGAAATCCCACTGGTGAGTTAAAGATAAATCAGTTCTCTCTGTGTACAAAGGCCAAGAAACCTCAATGGCGAGTTAAATATAGGCCCAACTGAGATGAGTCAAATTTGTATGATAGTATTGCTTTTGGTATGTTCATGTATTGTCATCTCCCCATCCCCCAGTGCACAAAATTAAAATCTCAACTGATGAGACAGAAGTAGTTCAATAAAAAAAGGAAATTTAGCTACTTTTACTTAATACTGTGTTCAAGGGTCCTTACTAAAAATCAAAAGTAGGTCAATTTAACTAAAGTAACTCCTTAATTAGGTCATTTCCATATGCAAAACCCATTCTTCATACTTGAGCCCAAAAGTCACCTCTTTACACTAGTTGACTGGCTAAATAAAAGCAAACTAGGGACACTGTTCAAGCTTTCAATGTTGTTCTATTGAGAGTAACAAAACAGCAGCAAATTAGGGATTTTAATATTCCCTTAAATGGGAGACATGCTTTTTTCAATACTGTAAGTTATGCTTTGATATGATTACAATTAAACCACTTTTTATGCAAAGCACAATTTATCAATTGCATTTAAAATTTAATTTCAAAATTAAAAAATTTCTTTAATGGCTGTTGATAATTTTCAAACATATATTGCTTGCTGGAGAAATCATTCACCATTTGCTTGTCACATTTCATGCTGATTTGATGAGATTTTTTTGTCTGTGTTGTTATAGGCAGGCTATGTGGATATAGACAGAGTTTCGCATGATACAGGACCGATTGACTTAGTGGTAAACACATTGCTTTGTTGTGTATTCACTGTATCAAGGTTCTGTGACTTTTTTTTTATTCCAATCTTTGATAAAACCTTGCAGCCTTTTGATTACTATTTTTCTTCAAAGAATTTTATTCACAGTCAAGTCTAGATTTCATATAAATAAAATGACTCTTGCAGATACACAAGAAGGTATTATGAACACTGCTTGAAGTCGGTTAAATGAGCTCTCAACCTGTCAACTCCTGAACTGTAACAGCACATGACAGAAACTTCTCATTCTGGAAGATACTCAGCCATTAATTAGAACATAACAAATAAAAAATAAAATTCTCCAGCCCCACATTGAGTTAATTCTCCAGCAACATATTGAGTTATTTTTCTTGTCAACAAAATTAATAATGAAATAGCTTCAGTGTCCAACTAATTTTTTGTATAAACTATTAAGTATTGAATGAGTTACTCTGACTAGTATTTCCCTTTCTAACATTGATTAGATTTAATAAGTTTTGCAAGATTGAAATCCCTGAGAAAATGTAGTAAATCTTAATTTTTTTGGTCTTATATTGCAAAGCTATAGGGACTAAAATCCACACAAAGATTGCCCATGACCTGAGGGTGTGTCATGACCTTGACCCAAGGTCATTTGGGGAAGTTCAAGGTCACTGGAAGAAAAAGTTCATAATTCGTGTCCGGTCCTTATCTTTCTTATGGATAAACTTTTGTGTTGCCAATGAGGGTGTGTCATTTGACCCAAGGTCATTTTTTCAAGGTCACTGGAATAAAAATTTCATAATTTGTGTCCGGTCTACATCTTTTTTATGGATAAACTTGAGATTTCATGCAAAGATTGCCAATCCAAGGGTGTGTTTTGAGGTGAGGAAGTTCAAGGTCACTGGAAGAAAAAGTTTAATCACTTATGGATAAAAGCCAAATATTGCCCATGACCTAAGGGTGTGTCCTGACCATGACCCAAGGTCATTTGAGGAATTTCAAGGTCACTGGAAGAAAATTTTCATAATTTGTGTCTGGTCCATATCTTTATTATGGATAAATTTGGTAGGTTCTCAATTCACACAAATATTGCCCTTGACCCAAGGGTGTGTCATGACCTTAACCCAAGGTCATTTGGGGAAGTTCAAGATCACTGGAAGAAAAAGTTTACAATTCGTGTCTGGTTTACTTTTGCTTTTTTTTAGGTTCTCATTTCACACAAAGATTGCCCATGATTTTTCACAAGGTCATTTGGGGAATTTCAAGGTCACTGAAAAAATTCATAATTCATGTGTATTATTGGAAAAACATGAACAGTTCTAGTTTTTTTTTGTCTTATTCAGCTATAAACAAGATACTTAAAAAAAATACTACTTTGAATAAGCTTTTGTGTTAGATTTTACATTTTCTCAATATCAAGCAAACTGAGAGTTTTGTCCATGGTTTTGTGAGGGTGGGTTATCACAAAGCCTTGAGATGGTGACAGTGGACATTTCTTAACATATATATAATAAACACTTGTTTTGCTTTTTTTTTTATTTTTCACCTGTCTTTTATTATCAGCTTTTTACATGTACAAGTTGCCAAAGAAAAATAATTTGTACCTGAGAAAAGATGTTTTCTTTCAAATATCTTTTTAACACTTAAAAAATAAAACATTTTGTCCATTCAAAACATCATTGCACTATGTCGTGTAATCAAGTATTACCGGTAACTGCTTTAGATGTGGTTTTTGATAAATTGGCTTTGATAACTTATTTATACAATATATTTTATGCAAAACTCAACTTGAAATTCTTTTCATTGTAATAATGGATCAAATCAGTTAAATTAGGCCTTGAACACCAATTTTGAAATCTTGTGCCATTTAGATTTTTATGATAAAGAAATCACTTTTGGGCTGTGTATTCTGAGTGTCCATCCATTGTATTAATTGTAAATTTAAAACTAGATTTTAATAGAAATGAGATAATAATGACTCTAATTTGTATGTAGATGAAGGTCATCAATAATATTTATGTCCATAGATGTTAAATCCAGTTTGCCATTCATGAAATTTTACATGTATCTTGTCTAGCACAATGAAGATGTGAGAAGTTTGAAATCTTTTTTTTTTTTTTTGATCTAGAGGTCTGTAGTAGGAAATATTTACTGAGATAGACTTTTTAATGAAGAATGCAGTTATTTTTCTTTTTTACTTTAGAGTACCGGTGATTGAGTATATTTAGCTAAGGCCATTCCAAGCTTTTTCTATGTTTAGCATCCACGTGCACCTTGGTTTTTGACACCCCATATAAAAAAAACACACAAGTGACACAACACCAGGAGTCCTAAAATTGATTAATTTAGTCAAAATTTTTGAATTTTGTCAATTTCTCCAAATAATTCTGTACAGTAAGATATACAGGGTGTATTTTAAGCATTTAATTCCTTGTTTTTGCTTAAGAATAGATATTTCTTCTATTAAAGCAGTTTAGTTAGATCAAATCATTTGAAGGGCGTCATTTTTATGACTTTTAAGCCTGTGTTTTATGTTTGTGACTTGTGTGTTTTTTGCGAATAGGTAGGTAGGTTTTTGAAAGTTGGGTGGACCCTAAACAGAGAAAAAACTTGGAATGGCCTAAAGTCAATTTAATACACCTTACTAGACTCTGTTGATGCGTTCGTGTCTGTTTTTCTGACCTTGACCTTCTATTGTAGGCTGGTTATGGTTATGGCCTCCCCCTGTCGCGGCTCTACGCCAGGTATTTCCAGGGTGATCTGGTCGTCAACTCCATGGAGGGGTATGGGACAGACGTCTATCTATACCTCAAGGTAAGGGACATGTTTTGTTGTGTGGCTTAGCTGCTAGTTTGATTACAAGCATAAATGCTTCATTAAGGTCATATTTCCATGTATTTTTGCCTAGAACTTTAATTAAAATTGCCTGAAATAGAGTACTATTATATCTTTATTGTCAGATAAATTTCATTTCACATTAGTCAATATATAAAATTGATGTATATCTTGCCTGAATATATCTTTATAGTCAGATAAATTTCACTCCACAAAAGACAGTCTTAAAATGATCAATGTATTTCTTGCCAGGTGAATTCTAAGGAGGCCAATGAGTGTTTACCCATTTACAACACAACTACCTCTAGAATGTATGAAGCAGAAAAGGTTGTGTCTGATTGGTCCAGCAATACAAACTGGAGCCAATCAATGCGGACTTACTGCACATTTGTAAGAAAGCCACTGGAGGTGTCAGAGGACAAGAAAAAGTCTGTAGAAAGCTTATAAAGCTAAATCCATCCTAAAATTCTGTGTTAATTAATGTAGAACTGAGTTATTTGTTAATTAATGTTGCTTATGAGACTGTTACTTTCATGTTGTGAATCATTTCATCAATCTCCATTTTTACATTTACTGTTTTCTTGGGGGGTTTTTTTTATCAAAAAGAAACTTTCTGTTCATTTAAATTTTAACTTATCTTGCCTGGAACTTGAAGACAAAAAGTTAAGAAACTTTTTTTTGTCATTTTCCCATTTATGTGAATTGATGGATAAAATCCAGGGCAAATCTTGTTCAGTAGATGACTGATATAATAAGATTGCAAATATGGTAAGTTGTACAGTCTTGTACAAAATATGATGTGTTTATTGCTGAAAGCTTATTATGACAAGGGTTGTAGGTATGTGTAGGTACCTTATTTGACGCATAGTTCCTATTCAAGGAGGATTTATGGAATGTTTTCATCATCAGGGATAAATAAATATGTTAAATTATTAACTGCACATGCAGTAACTTTTTTTGACAATGCAATGTTCCTATACTGTAGATGTATTTTATTCCGTGTGGGGTTAATTTTAAGTACACAGTCAATTTTTCTGCAGGCTTAATTATGATCCCATGGAAAAAAAGTATGTTTAAAATGTTATCTTTCTGTTTTGATTTGTGTTTACGAGATAATATATATGTCCTGGTATTAATAATATATAATGTTTACTCGTTTGACAGCTGTAATCCAGCAGCTGTTTTTTATGTAGGGCAGGGTAGAAGTATTTCAGATGGTGCATAGTGTAATTAAATTATAACAGTCTTTCATATGATCTCATCTTAGATCCTTGATGTTTGTTATCTTGTCAAAATTATTTTAGAGTTTTTTCAGCTATGGTAAATAGTAAGTTTCTGTGTCCTTCGCCGAATAACATATAAATGTACTGAGTGAGTGATCATACTGTATGTAAAGTCTCTGCTCTTAGTTCTAGTGGATAGAGATCGAAGAGAGAGAATTCTTACATGTTTAAGCAATAATTTTGTCTAAATTTATCTGTTAGAGTCTATTTTTAAAATGTGTTTTATGCTCAAATGATTAAAAACTTAAGAAATTTACCCTTTCTTGTAAATAATTCTTCTTCAGTAACTTATTTGGGCAAATTTTTGTGGTTTACAGAAAACAGTAATGGTTTGAAGGGATTTGATTTCATTGTTAAAGGAAGGATATATACTACAGTTTGATAATTTTTTCATTTTCTTGGGATATGAATTCGTGGGTCTCTTCATGCCGTGGAAGCAACAAGCTAATTCAGAGAATTCGTGTCCAGAAATGTGACTGAATTTGTAGAATTATTAAATGTATACAAGTATACTGAAGGAAATAAAATACATGTATGTCAATATGCGTATAAAGATTTGATTGCTTAATCTTTATTATGTGTATAGAAGATATTTTTATATGGAATATTTATCACACTGTAATGATGATTTTATAACCTCATAAATTTTTCATTTCACATGCTGAATACTATCATTTAGTAAAAAAAAAAGTATTTAAAAAAAAAAAAAAAAAGAAAGATTCGACCGAGATTCGATGCCGGAACCTCTCACATTTGAAGCGAGTGACATAACCACTAGACCACGGAGTCGCTTTACATGGAGCGAAGTATATGCAGAACTGAAGTCACATACATGTATATATTCATGTTTTCATGGGTATTTCAAAATTTTACACAATCCATGGTGTTTGATTTATTTAGCCTTTATTAAACAGTTATAATAGATGTAATAAGAACATAAAGTCCGCCGAGAACCTGTTTTATACGCAATAACTCTCCTCATGCCCTGCGCTAAAAATAGCGACATGTAATAAAATACTAATAAAACAAACGGGGCGGGGCACTTTGAGAGGGGCGAGAGGTCCTAGGGAGTTTTGGTATAAAATTACATTGCATAAGCTCAAAATCTTCTGAAATGGAAATGATAGTGTTACACACAGACAGAATGTATAAATTTACGACCTTGAACTTTGACCTTTTGACCTCAAAATCAATAGGGGTCTTCTTTAGGCCACAGGGAGTTGTTATGTAAAATTTCATTGCAATAGCTCAAATGGTTCTAGAGATATCGTGTGGAATCGAAAGTGTTTTACATAGAAATATATATGACCTAAATCTTTAAAAACCTTTTGACCTCAAAATCAATAGGAAAGGTCTTCTTTAGTCCATAGGGAGTTGCTATGCTAAATTTCATTGCAAAAGCTCAAAGGGTAGATGTGTGGAATATTAAATTGTTAAAATCAAGACGGACGGGGGAGGGCGGGGCCACAAAGGAAATCCAGTTTTACATAGAAATATATAAAAAAAAAAAAAAAATGATTCAGGACATTCATAGTCAATAGGTCAGGAGAGAACTTTTTGTTTATGACATACAAGTTTATTTTTTAAATGGATAGTTGATTGAGCTAGCGCTTATTTTCCCACTATCAAACACCGATTGGAGTAAGTTATGTCGCTGAACGTATTCTAGTAGTTAAATGAAATGGGTAGATTTTGTATACTAAAGGTAATTATACCCCATGCAACTTGTTGAGGGAGGTCTAATGTTTTGACTGGTCAGTCAGAGTATCTGTCAGTCAGTCAGTCCCTTTTTTTTTGTCAGGGCAAATTCTTTACACCGATGCACACAATTTCCTCAAATTTCGCAGATATTTACCGGTAGGATACAATGTGTAGATGTGCATATTACCAGGAAATTCCGATTCAATTATTTTTGCAGGGAATTTCGGCACTTTTCAACTTAGATTTTGGCCATACCTTGAATATAGAGATGAACAGTTTGTCAGCGCAACTACTTTTTTAAAACCGCTGCGCAGATTTTCGTCAAACTTTGCAGATATTTGGACACAATGTGTAGATGTGCATTTACCAGAAAATTACGATTCCTTATTATATTTTCCGGAAATTTTGAGACTTCCGAGTTTAGGGGGAGTGTGGGGTATGTGAGCTTGCTCACTTTTCTTTCATTCAAATTCATTTTCTGTTGGTTGTTTGGAATATTTAAAAAAATAATTAATTAATTTCTAAATGTTCAAGTCTTTAACGCCGCGAAAATACACTGTTCATTTGGAATGTTTGCTCTTGGAACGCACCTACCTGTTCAACAGATTATTCATTTTCGAAACACAACAGTGACACATCTTGACTTAATCAAGTAATATGGAGTTGATGGACACAGATGTTCCCTAAGTATTTTCCTCCAAACATTACCTTCCTGAACATTTAGACAGTCGCCTTACATTTGGAGAGTGTACATATTTGCATTTCAATTTCTCACAAAACTAAAGTTATTTATGCCATTAACCAGTATCACGACTATTTCGAGGATTTTCCGGAGTGTGAAAATTCTTTAGACTGCAATCAGGAACATACTGACAACACAAATTAGTAGGAAATGGTGAATTGGTCTCCCCTGTTTCTTTTCAGTCGGTTTTTCCTTCTTCTAGACTTAATATTTCTTATTTTGTGCCACGCCATGTGGAATTTTTTTTTTCATGTTTTTCAGTTTCATTTGACTGTACGCGAATTTTATTTCGCTGAAAATCACTGCAAAGCTCAAATTTCATCAATCCAGATTTGCATTAGGGCCGGTATATGGAGTGGAATATCCAGAATACAGAGATTTATCGGAAAATTTTAGCGATGTTATATCCCGTTTTTTCTTTGACACATTGCCAAACGTAACCCATTTGAATTTATCAAACCATTTATTAGGAAATAACTTCAATAAATTTAAAAGTATTGAAGATCATTTCCAGGCTCTCAAATTGCTAAAGAAATAAAGCTTTCAAGTAATGGAATGCTTTCACTGCCACTGAATTTCTTTACAGGTGCTCTTGAGATTCTTGACTTAAGTCATAACCTTAAAATAAATTTAACTATCACAATAAGTGGGAACAATCTCCATTAAATCCAATCGACATCATCAATTCGATTGCATATAATTTCTTGAGAAACAATGCACTGGTTATAGAAAGTTTTCACGAGCGTAAAAAATTAAGCGTTGATTATGGGCGGCGGAAAGGGTAAAAAAGACGTTTATGCAAAACTAACAACTAATTTTATAAACATAATGAAATACAAAACAGACAACCTTAAAAACAAAATCAACAAACTCGTTTGCAAAAGAACAACTGGCGAAACCAACAATCACCAATGCAAAACCAACGATTATTCACTGAATTGTCGCTAGATGGCGTGCAAAAAACATATATTACCTGAATTAACGCTAGATGGCGCGCAAGTTTTTCTACGTCATCATTACTATAACGTAAATTGATCAGGGCCACAATTATAGAGTGAAGGTCAAAAGCCTGAAAAGTAGCACATAAAGGAAATTCGTATGCCTCCCTTTCAATGATAAAAATAAAAACATGCTCACGTTTGTGAAACTTTCTGGGTATATAATAAAAGTTTAATGTCAAAAGTTTACAATGATATGCATCAAGGTGCATTTCAAGCATAAATTATGCATAGAAATATGTATTGAAATAAGAGGTCATTTGGTTTGTTTACACATTTTAAGCCAAGCGAGAGCTATTCGGAGGTCATAGTTAGATTTATTAATAACCAAGGATTTCCAATTATACCCCATTTTTCTGACACTCTGTCATGTGTTAAAAAATATTTTGGAAATGAATCTTTTTTAAAAAAGTTACAAAGAAATCAAAACACATGTTTTTACTATATAAGTCTATATATATGTACATGTAAGCTAATTGTAGTCCGGGTCCAAATCCCGCGAAATAGTCTATCAACATCCATTTTGCAAACCTCGGATAATAGCATCATGTCGAACTTTTAAAATTCAAACATATTAGAGGCAGCAAGACAAACGACTATTACGAGAAACCAGTAGCAGATACTGTTTTTTCCCCCAAGAGAAAATTTTTGAAAGAAAAAAATCCCCTTACACTCTTAAAAAAGTTCATATAAAATTATTTTATTGTGTTCATGCATGACACAATTTGTTGATACATGAAAATTCACTTGCAAGTTGTACTTTTATCATTTTTGCTTTTCTTTGTAACTTATAGTGAAGTCTATCAAATTTATTTTAGTTTGTTAGAAGCAATCTGATTAAAATCCTTTTTTTAAAACCGCTGTCATTAATTGCTACTTGTTTAGCAGATATATGTGACACAATGTGTAGATGTGCATTTAAGAAATATATGGGCTGGATTGTTTTTATCTTTTCCGAAAAACAGGATCTGCGCCTGTACAGATATGAATTATATAGGACAGAAAAGATAAAGCGTAAGGAACAGGATAATCAAGGTTGCTCACTTTTTTTCAAGGGATATCATTAATTCATGAAGTTTTAGTCAAAGTTCACAAGATTTTGGTAACTTTTATTAAAAATGAATTAAAAATGTTTGATAATAAATGGAAAACATTTTGAAAGAATTTTAATTTTATTCAAAAGTTTTAATTTCTTAATGTTCAAGTTGAAACCGTAAAAGAAATACAGGGGTGGATCCAGCAATTTTGCGAAAGGTCGATGCCCCAGCACTCATGCATAGAATCAACAGATTATTCATATATTTATCGAAGGGGGCACCAAAAACAGTTGACAAGCCTCTTGACAAAACAAAAAAAAAACAAAACACAAAAAAAAAAAAAAAACAAAACACACACACTTTAAGTCCTTCAAAGTATTTTCCTCCAGACTTTTCCTGAACATTATATACTTTCATGTAATGCCTTACATTTTGGCAATAAAAACTGTGTACTTGTTTGCAAATCAAAATATTCTTAAAACACAGCAAAATTTATGCCAAAAAAAAAGTAACCAGTATCTGCATTTTTTTTTTTTGCATGTTAGGATTTTGAGTGTGAAAATTCTTTAGCCGGGGTTGCAATCAGGAACATACTGAAAATCAAAAATTACAGAGCAGAGCGGACAAAGATTTTCCATTTTTTCAAAATATTGACTTATTCTATATTTATACAGAAATTTTTCTCTCTTTTTGTTTCGCTTGAAAATTTACACTGTAAGGCTACAAATTTCATCAATCCTGTACAAGATTTGCATCTTTGCCATGGTATGCGCAGTAGAGATGTGCATTTTGAATTCTCCAGAAAACAGACATTTATCGAAAAATTTTATCGATGTTATATCACTTTTTTTTAAGCCCCCCCCCCCCCCCCACATTGCAAAAAAACGTATACACACATTTGAATTTTTGTTCTTTATAAATATTTTAAAATAACTTCAATATAAATTTAAAAGATAAAAATTGGTATAAAATGTACTATATACCGGTAGTAAATGATCCCTTATTATATATAAATATTAATTTTGATACCGATAATATATTCTTTAATACATTCCGAGGTTTACCAATTGGTTCCTGATATAATTTCGCGTGATTTACGTTCCATAAGTTAAAAAAATTTAACTAGAAAAACTTGCGCGCCAACGTTAATTCAGGTAAATGTTTTTTTGCGCGCCCTAGCGACAATTCAGTGAATAATCGTTGGTTTTGCATATAATTGGTTTCGAGAAACAATTTTGCAATCGAGTTTGTTGATTTTGTTTTTAGGGTTGCGTAAAAAATTAAGTTTTGCATAAACGTTGCCCATATATTTCAGAAAATTTGTTCGATTGCTCGTGTGAAACTTTTTTTTTTTTTTTTTTTTTTTTTTTTTTTTGACAATTAATGGATAAAGGATTAAAAAATACATTTCATTAAGAAAAATCAGTACGAATGTTAAACACATTTATCCATTATACACACATCTGCGGATCTTAGCAATACTAGTTTATTGACAGACAAGGCTGTCGTTCCAATATTTTAATATCAGTTTCTGTTGGCGCCATCTTAGCAATTGAAAAAGTGGATGTACTTTTTAACTTTTGATGGACTATACAATACTTACAATACTTCTTTTATCACAAAGTTGAAAATTCAAGAAATAATCAATTCAACTAGACGGAATGAAAAGGCTTACAAATATTCGGCTTTTGTATCTCTTGCTGACAAGACTCTTTCCTGCGGAGTGATATAGTACATCAGTTAGAAGAAAAAGTTGGACTAAAGCTTTGTCCGTCCAATCGAGATTTCGGTCCAAATGCGAATATCTTATACGCTATACACAACACCAAAAAGGGTCATCGTGACAATGGACTTTATGATAAAACATATCGATGAAGGATTTTTGGTTTATGTACCAGTTACAGATAGCCCTACAGGATCTGATTCACATAAGAAACGGGGACTTCATCGTTGTCCTTCTCAAGAACTCCTCGTATGAGGACCCGAGGTATCATGAGCAATCTGTACTTGTTCTGCCCAGCATCCAGAGGGTTCGATTCGGATAACGCGGTGTTCTGGAAGAAGCTAATTCAATCTCTAAGACAATGACGCGAAACAGTATAGTAAAATACTGATGTATTTCATGTGTGTTGTGTGAAAAATAAAATAGGCGAAAATATAACGATAAGTGATCAACCATATGTATTGATAAGGCAGATGGAATAATATGTGGTAAAATATAGTTTAAAAACAAAGGCCTGACAAATGGTGAATTTATATCCCCGTTTCTTCTCGGTCGGTTTTTTTCTTCTAGACCTAATATTATTTTGTGCCACGCCATATTGAAGACAATTTTTTCCATGCTTGTTAAATAATTTTTATTTTTTATTCATGGGTAGCAAGAATATTTTTTAACTTCTTGCATGAAAAAAGTCTTTTCCTTTGGCCTTCTTTGTTATATCATATATACAAATATGAAATGGACATGATGGTTTGACTATCTTCTACGACTTTTTAAGACAACCCTCGCAAATAATTGTTTATGGATTGAAACATTATTTCAGAATTCTTTTACTGCTGTCATCTTCCCATTAACAAATGGACCATATAGAAGTTAACAACTTCACACAAACAAAAACCTTTATAAATGGCATTCTTTGGGGAAAGAGAGAATGGGAAATAATTTTTGAGTATTACCGGGAGTTTTTTTTAAAAGAAATGTTCTATTTCACTGAACATGCTGGTTAAATGAATAGTGAATAAATTTATGCATTTCTTTATTGAATCTGTGTGCGCCATTACCCTTTCATTATGAACACTATGAATACTCTCGTATTTAGCCTCGAAACTTGAACTTCCGCAATTGATGTTTTCGGCTTTTAAGCAATTATAGAAAAAAAAACTGGTATCACCATTCACCGAGTGAATAAATATTGGTTAATTTGATTCAATCTAAGTAAAGGCTTGGTGTTTTTCATTGCGGTCGAGTAGTTTCCTTTCCATTCCATGTGTTCTAAATGTATTTGGAGAAACTTCCTTTTCGGTGACCATAATCTGATACAGGAATTTGGATCATGTCTCCTAGTGGATGAAATACTAGTATTTCAATTGGAAATACCGGTATAACCTTACCCTGGAATATACAGAGGTAAACACGTGCTAAAAGTTTTAATATTTTGAAAATTGAAATTAAAAATATCAAAATAAAATTGATTCCAGTAAACCAACTGTTATTCGCTTATTCGCGTCATCTTTTATTCGCGATTCGTCAGTTATCAATCGGCGACGATTAATTTCCGCGACTGAGGAAACATTCTCTACAAATGCTTAGCAAAATGACTAATGGCAATTAATATTTGCGAGTAAAAGTAGGTCGCGGAGATCGCGAATATTTCTCGCACGCAAAGAAAAGCTGGTTTACAGTTTTTAAACTAGCATCTGATATAACATTGTAGAATTTTACCTTTGATCTCTTTTTACAGAATCTGCTACCTCAGAGGCTTGTTTCCCGTTGGTCAAGTGTTCCCTTTCGTTGAAAAGTGTAAGCTCCTCTGCAATATCTTTCTATTGTTCACGGAGCATGGGATTGTTACTTTTCCTGGCTTGTGTTATACCCCTGACGGTCTTCGGCGTCTTCGCCAATAACAGATGCACCTCTGTAGACTGTAAATGTACCGATAATGGAGACGGAACCTGGACAGCCGACTGCTCCAAAAGGAATCTTAATTCCATGCCAACATTTCAGATGAATGTTTCAAAAATAGACCTAAGCTTCAACAACTTAAAGGAAATTGGTAGTTCTCCCCAACTGCCTTTGCTTCTCAAGGAATTGAGTTTGAACAACAATAATCTGAAATCAATATCAGCCATCGTTTTCCAGAACCTCACCTTCATGGAAGTTCTGAAATTAGCTGGAAATAATTTATGGTTGGACAGTTCACCAAAATTGTCCTTTATTGATAACTTGTCAAACTTGAGACATCTCGATCTTCTAAATAATACAAGTCCTCAAAGTAATGCCTCATATCCTTTTCAATCATTTAAGAACCTGCAGAATCTGAAGTCTTTGAGGATAGATGGTCTTTTGAGGGGGGATTTTAATCGGAGAGAATGGAATTTAACCAGTTTAACAACACTCATCATCTCAGGAAAAATAGGACAATGTTACTTCGAAAAACTTGAAGAAGGTTTTTTTGGAGGTTTACCAAACATAAAATATTTAACTCTAACAGATTGTCCGATTCGTTTTGTAAACAGGGGTGTTTTCAGTACTCTAGACTCTCTACACGCCCTTGATTTATCTAACAATAGACACATGACGTTTGCTGTACTTGAAAACGTATCATTCGATCTACAATTTACAAATGTCCAAATCCTTAACGTTAGTAAATTACACTGCAAATTTGGGCTTGGGACATTTCTATCTGTAAAGCAGATTGTTCACTTTCGAAACACAACAATCACACACCTTGACTTATCAAGAAACCGTATGGAGTTGATGGACACAGATGTCCCCAAGTATTTACCTCCAAACATGATTTTCCTGAATATCTCAGACAATCACCTTACATGGGGAATGTACATGCTTGCATATCAATTTCTCACAAACGTAAGAGTGGCAGATTTCAGTAAACAATTTTCGGAACCCTCTGATTTTTCCGAGTTGGATTGTAGAAATTCTATTGATTGTACCTATAAAAATGACAGAAATTTGGACAGTTGTAGTGGTCTCTCGAGTGATATTATGACCACATTTTCTCCTCATTTAGCTTTTGATTTGTCAAAAGGTAATTATACCTTTTATATACCACGTAGCCTTGAAAAGCTTTTTTTCCACGACAGTAACTTTTTATTCGCTATACGTGAGATTCACTTGCAAAATAACCACTGCAAAGAGTATCATCTACAGAACAGTATTTTTAATAGCTTGATCGGTCCAATGTATGGCATGGAATACGCTGAATATTTCGATTTATCCGGAAACCTCATGTACAATATCTCTCAGTCTTTCTTTGATACATTTCCCAACATTACATATTTGAATCTATCGAAAAATATATTAGGAAACTGCATCCATGAAAAGGTTGGTTTTGACCACTTTCAAGCACTAAAAAAGCTGAAGGAAATAAAATTGTCATACAATGGAATTGAATCCTTACCACCAAACTTTCTTGCAGGTGCTTGGTCTCTTGAAATCCTTGATTTGAGTCATAATCTAATTACAAATTTTACTGTCACATTAAACGAAAGTACTCCATTAAAATACCTCGACTTAACATCAAATCGACTGCATATACTATCTCATGAAACAATGCAGCGTTTGCAAAATATTCATGAACGTCATAACCTCACCGTTGCCCTTTCGGCAAATTTGTTCGATTGTACATGTGCAGCACTTAACTTTCTACAGTGGATAAAGGATTCGAAAATTCATTTCATCAAGAAATCTCAGTACATCTGTAAAACAACTCGCTCCAGAGTTCTAAGTTTTAACAATCTGGATTTCATAATAAAGGATCTCAAACAGGACTGCCGTTCCAATATTCCAAGAACAATCGGGATAACAGTTTCTTTTGTCTCTATTTTAACAGTTGGAATCATTGGTGTGCTGTTCAAATTTCGGTGGACTGTACGTTACTACTACTATCTCACAAAGTGGAAAATCCAAGAAGTCGTTAATCCTGCCACACAAAATCAAAGAAATTACAAATATTCAGCTTTTGTGGCTTATACAGAAGGCCATTCCTTCGTCGAACAGGAATTGGTTTACCAGTTGGAAATAATCAGAGGATTGAAACTTTGTCTACCAAATCGAGATTTTAGTCCAAACTTGAAGACATATGCCAGTGTAGCCTATGCTATTCACCACAGCAAAAAGATCCTCTGCATAGTAACGAGTGATTTTCTGAGAGATTCCTGGTGTATGTATCAGCTACAGATGTCCCTACAGGGCAGGGTCTACAGACAGGATGAGGACTGCATCATCTTTGTCCTCTTCGAAGAACCCTCCTTTGAGAACCTTGGAGGAGTTCAACATTCTTTGTTGGTGATGCCGTTCATCGAGAAAAATTCCTACGCGCTCTATCCTCAAAACGAGACAGATCATTCCGCGTTCTGGCAGAAGCTTGTTGATAGTGTTATGGAATGACTTCTAAACATTTGAAGTACTATCTAAAGAAGGAACATTATCATGAAAAGATTTGTTAATTTCTTTTTTTTAAGTTATTTGTTATATTCACATATTCACATCTTAAAATTTGGTCTATTACAAGAGAACTGCAAATACACTCTGACAAATTGTTACCGGTAAGTCCCACAGCTGAAATTTTTAAAACATACAGTTTTTAATTTTTTAAATCACTTTTTGACATATCTGTAGAAGTCCTTTTTCCGCGTGGGATAAATTTACGCTATGTACGCGATCATATATTGTTCGTGGAAAACTGTCACATTGCACTTAATATGCATGTATTACTTAAAGGCATATACATGTAGTGAGATTCAATAAAATCCACGCAATTTTCAACCCTTAGATTAAACAGAAATAGAGATTCAACAGAATTATGACCCAGTGAAAAATAGTACTTATACTGTATTTCAAAAGAAGTATTATTTTTGCTCCAGCGGAGATGGAGGGGGTAAATTTCAGTCATGTAGAATTTTTACCATGTTTTAGCAAGAACAGGAACTTTAAGCACTTATACTTTGGCTTATTAACTGATACTTCCTCATAAACCAAACTGCAAAAAAATCTTCTTAAAATAGGCACTTGTTCCTAAAGCAGAGATTTCGATGTTACTTAACAGTCTATCCTTGGAGTAATTATATAACTTAGATGAGTTTTTACTAGGTGAGTAGTTTTTTTTCGCAAGCAGTTCGTAGGTGAGCAGCATGAAGGGGACTTTAGGATCTTGTGAAAAGCTTTACTTCAAATTAAAAAAAATGTTTATACATGTACTATTATACTGATGTGAATTGTCATTCAAATTTTAATTTTCTTGATTATTGTTTGTTTTGATATTCAATTTTTTCCTACTCAATAGAATTCATTTTTTGTCTTTTTTTTAACTTGCCTAAAAGTAGGAAAGTTTCAAATGCCTGTGTATTAAAATACAAATAGAATCCTTTTATCACATAAAATGCTTTACACTTACAAGTACTAAATACTCTAAAGAATTTACGTGAAAAACAATCATTGAAACATATAGTATTTGTAGTATGTACCGTAAATGAATTGATTCACACAATAACGCCATGTTTCTCTTTTTTATTTGTGCATACAGCTGGCTTTGTTTTATAAAGACTACAATTTTGGAACCACGATAGCTCTGTTTGACGTGTTAAAAAAAATACCCGGACATTATTTAAATGTCATCTCTAATAAACCTTATCCTGAAACGGAATGATTCCTCTGTTAACTGTAACCAGACATTGTTGTACCTCCGAAGTTAGCTTTTATTTTGTGAACAAGATTGGATACCTGTCTCAGGTGAGCTATAATTGGTGTTTATTCCTAGGTTTCCTGGTTTACAAATACAGGTTAACTTGGTTGTTGATAAATATATCAAATTTTATGAAAAAGGAAGTAAGCTTGCATAAATGCACCATGCATTTAAAAGTACACAACATGGCAACACTCTATCTGCCACAAACTTGAAAATTTTTCAGATGTATCTGATTTTCTTTCAGGTAAGAAATATTAACCTTATCTCGTCATGACCAATTTTTACTTATATAGGCAATAATCTATATCACAGGAAACTTCTTTCGGATTTTTAAGTAATTGTTGTAATTCAACACTTTAATTTTAATGTTTCAGTGTACACTTTATATTTTCAATTTCATCTAAAGAATCGTCATCAAAACTTATATGGTTGAGGAGAAATTATTTTTCTATTGATGGAGAATTTGTATCACTTGCACTGTCTTTGATAAACGTATGGTTTAAGACCATCATGTGGATTTGAACCTTGCACTTTCTGATTTAGATGTTGATTGGTATTTATGCATAAATATACATAAATATTAAAAAAAAACAAAAACAACAACACTCTTTATGAAGTTTGTTTTATAATATTACTGAGTCTGTATGAATTCTTACAGATCGTCTGATGTGTTATTTTATTTCCCTCATTCAGATCCTTTAATATTTGCTTATAGTGAGAAATCCTCAAAGTACCGATATGTGACTGTCAAATACTTCCGTATTCCATCTTAACTAAACAATTCAGCCAATTAAAAATATCTACCAGGAAGTCATTAGTTTTGTTCCGCATTTTGCACTACACTGTGTCATTCTGGCACCGGAGTTAAGCACATGTGACTTTCTGCAATTTCTTTATAAAAAAAACAAGTTTATTTTCCAAAAATTATCCATTGGAGATATAAATATAATACAGTGTATTAAAAACATAAACTTTGGACACTCCATCTTGTTTTCAAGTTCTCTTATCAGATGTATATCGTTCTTGGTCGAGAAAACATGCAGATTCAGTCTTCGTGCCTAACATTAATAGGTCTCACATTCCCAATTAAAAGTTAGCATCCTATTACAGAAGTAAAGAAAATTTCTAAGAACACTTAGTTAAGAACAAAATTTGCAGAAAAAAAAAATCAAGACCATTTATCAATTACACTTAAGGATGATGCTAAGTTTAAAAGTTATAATTCAAATGTTTGGTTTCATGCGGTATAATAAGGAAAAAAGTTTTTTACTGTTTCATATTGAGGTTAATGTAAAAATTTATTTATCGTCAAATAATCATATAAATTTTTCCTCGGCAAACCTTTAGAGCGAAATGATAAGAAAATATGTATTTTTGAGCCTTAAATATCCATTCAGATATTTCTTGACGTTAAATTATTCATAATTTTTATTTGTTCCTTTCCAGACCAACTGAATTCAAGTGGAACCGTCCTCACGAACAAAGATCGGAGTCGGACAATTACCGACCGAATCAGCAATTCCTCTTTCAAGATTATTGTGTAACAAAAGTTAAGGATGGCTGAGATGTTTTATTTCATATTTTTCCTGTCCATTGTTGAATCGCTGTCTAAAACCCCTTGCGATAATGAACCAAATTGCGATTGTGGTCCTGGAGATCAGATACTCTTTGACGTGGATTGTTCGAAAAGAGGATTGACGAATTTACCTTCAAATCTTGTAAACAGTGGTACACTGCACAGCATTGATTTATCACAAAACCAATTACAACATGTCAAGATACCTGAAAACTATTCTATTACTTTAAAACTTCTCAACTTATCTTACAATCACATAAGCGAACTTAAGAATGAATCGTTCCTATGGGTTCCTTACTTGGAATCTTTGGATTTGTCAAATAACAGACTGAGTTTTAACAACACGAGTCTTCCAAGAAACGTGTTCCAGTATCTGAGAAATCTCAAGACATTAAATCTTTCCCACAATAATTTTGATACGACGACAAAATACAATGCAGAACTTTTTCGAAATAGTCCATCTCTTAAAACGTTGGCAATTGACGGTGTTAAAGAGGGAAACTTTCATTTAAATATTTGCAAAGAATTTAAATTTGAAAATCATGAAATATGTGAAAAGGATAGTAGGCAACATTATAAAATGAAGCTATTAAACTTGTCATCACTGACGTCATTAATTGTCTCTGGAAGAGAAAATGATAAATACTGTCGCATAGAGCACTTAACTGATGATTTCTTTGAGAGTTTTCGTTACCTTGAGCACCTCGATCTCTCTGGGTGCTCCATCAAGTCAGTCAGCAAGGATGCTTTGAATTTGACTCGCTTGAAATATCTAGACCTGTCCTACAACGACAAACTATCCTTCCACGCAATTCCAAACATCTCTGAACATTTCATAAAGATGACCAATTTAAAGACATTGAAATTAGATAAAATACATTGCACTTTTGGGATGGGAACATACCTAACTGTAGACATCGTTAAAAAATTAGTTCATAGTTCGATTACTTATCTGTCCATAGCAAGCAATAGGTTGGAGATGGCAGAATATAACACTGCCCTTTATTTTCCACCAAATCTCACGTTTCTTAACCTCTCCGACAACAAACTAACATTTGGAGGGTATGTTTTCCACATGAAGGACATGGAAAACTTAAAAACAATTGATCTGAGCAAACAGCACACCACTCATTTTACTGGGGTGCCAACCGATTTTCAGGAATGCAAAAACAAGCCATTGTGTCCCTCCTCCTCTCTCAGAATGAGTTATAAGAATCCTCAGCCATGGGAATGGTCCCTCCCTCCAAAATTACAACATGTAGATTATAGTAGGGCCTCCTTGCATTTAGCAATTGGAAAAATTGAAGTCAACAGATCGAATTCGGTGAAAAATATCTCTTTAAACAGGAATTTTTTGCAGAATCTTACAGGACCGATCTCTGGATTAGAAAAAGTTGAAAATATTGATTTCTCTTACAACTTCATATCAACAATGTCAGCTTTCTTCTTTGGAAACTTTCCAAATTTGACAACACTTAATCTACGAAAAAACTTAATTGGTAAGTGTATAAAGACAAATAGTTCAGCTTATTTTCAAAATTTAACGAATCTTACAAGATTGGATCTTTCTCAAAATATGATAAGGCATCTGCCCTCGCGGATTTTTGATGGTCTCCTTTCTCTGGAGAAATTGAATCTTAGTTATAACTTATTAAGAGAATTTTCTCTGGATGAAGGCCAACTCGGCTCACTAACAGAACTAGATCTGTCCAACAATGAATTGTCGTCATTTCCCGACTCGGCAAAAATGGCACTGGATTCAATTCAAATAAGTCATCCTGTGAAAATACGTCTGAGAGGTAATGATCTCCGATGTTCCTGCGATTCTCTGGATCTTCTCAAATGGATGCTAAATTCGAAAATAAGTTTTGTGGAAAGAGATTTATACAGATGCCAATACTCACACACATGTCAGAATTTGAGCAACCTAGGACATATCGTCAAGTCGCTTGTGAAGAAATGTGATCATTATGAGGAGCTTATCGGCGTCCTGTCTGGCTTGTATGTCGTCTTTACGGCACTCATAGTGGCGGGAATTCTATATCGTTACCGTTGGAAACTTCAATATATCTACTACATGTCAAAGTGGAGTCTTCCCGCTTCACGAAAAACTTTTAATAAAATATACGAGTACGATGCTTTCGTTTCTTATGCTGACGAAGAAAGAGATTTCGTCACACAGGAAATGATATCAGAGTTAGAAATTACGTCACAACGGGCGTTATGCCTTCATGAGAGGGATTTCACTCCGGGGAAATCAATCGGTGAAAACATTACCAAGTCAATCTGTAACAGCAGATATGTTCTATGTGTTGTGACAGAAAATTTCTTGTCCTCTCATTGGTGTATGTATGAACTAGAAATGGCATTAACAGACAACAAGTATTCACGCGATAAACAGTCAGTGTTCCTCATTATGTATGGGGGATTACCAACAGAGAACTCCAAATTCAGATCATCCATTCGACTCATGTCCTTGGTGGAAAAGAATGCTTACATTGAATACCCGAAAGATGAGGGAAACAAGGCGGAATTTTGGAACTCGCTTAGGGCCATGTTACAAGAATAGACCATTAATTATTGGTGGTAGTACTGAATATGGATTGAGGGGAAAATTGAAAGATCTTTCCGAGGGGTTTCTTGGGCTGACTTTATAATGAGATTTATTCAATGAACTTAACGCCATCCAATTTGCAAACTTAAATATGATGAATTATTGTATTCTTAATTTTTTGTTTTACTTAAAAAATCAGAAATTATATAAAAATGGAAGGTGTTTACATTTTATTCAAAGAGAATCATTCTCCTTTAGTATCCTTTCGAGAGGAAAAAAGTGTACGCTTGCCTTACGTTTACCCAGTTGTTTGCTGGAGAAAGTAATTGAACTCCAACTGTAAATTTTCGTACAAAGTGTTATTATGCCATTATACACACTGAATTCTTTACTGATTGGTTTTTTCCATCTTTCGGATCATTACAAGGAGCACGAAAGGGGATGTTTTCCTCTAAAGCACCCAATCCTACCTCGGATGTTTTCATAGGTGCGTGCTTCCCACTTAGTATTGTTCTAATGCTCATGAATTGCTAAGCTTGATTAAGTTCGTTATGCCTTTTGTAGACCAATTTTGTTTTCATATGAAGCAAAATTTGTCCAAAATTTTGTACGTGAAAAGAAGAAAACACTTGTTGTGGCTTTCAACTTGACATTTAGTTATATCGACGACGTATTGTAAATTAACAGTCACTGTGGTAATTTCCATTCCTATGCCGATATGATGTCGATACGATATATCTTGGTGAGCTTGAAATAAAACATACCACAGAGAAGGACACATCTGTTTCATATTTGGATATTTTATTTGAAAAAAGAGGTCATGGTAATTCAAATACCAAGCTCTATGACAAACGAGATGACTTTAACTTTTCAATCGTCAACTTTCTTTGCGTACGCAGCAATTTACCTTCATCGCTTGCATGCATGGTTTATATCTCTCTGTTGATTCGATACGCCAGAGAATGTTCTACGTATGAACAATTTTTAAAACGGGGCAGGTTATTGACCAATAAGTCGATGAAACAAGAACACTAACAGTCTCGTTTAATTAAAGTCATCGTTTCGTAAGTTCTATGGTCGATACGTTGACCGTGTCAGCAAATACAATTTATCATTTAGTCAAATGCTGCCTAACGTTTTTCATATATATTGTTAGGACATTATATATACACACTCAATTGTCGACGGATTTTCCCGTTATTTCCCAATCATGACAAGGAGCACAATGTGTGACCGGTCGGCAGGGGATGCTCAATGGTACCTGATCCCACCTCTGATGTTTTAGAGGTCCGTGTTTAATAAAGTTTTGAGCTTGAATACTGTTATTCGTCTCCAAATATTTCATTGATAAAACAAAAAGGACGATATACCTAAAAAGAAGAAGTATCTTCGTCCTTATTCGCATCTAGAACAACTAGACTACATGTATGACTTTTGTAATATTGCTGTATCTAAGTATTTACTTGAGAATTGGGTAAGGGCAGATATTTTTAAAAATTCGATGATGGTTCTTTAATATATCAAAAGTATTTTAAACTTCCGAAAAATATTACAAGATAAGTTACATGTCGATGAATCAAGTAGAATGATACAGTATAATGTACATCTTCAAAATGTTGTCCAACTCCTTCTACAAGTCTTCTATCATGATGACTGCTACATGTACATTTTGTGATCGACAGCAACTGACAGATAATTCCCCGAAAGCTTTCTGCAAATGTTCCTAGATGTATACGTTTTGTGTGCTCCTGACACAACGGGCTACTTTTGAATATGATTTTGTAAGGTTGTATAGAAAACTAAGTTTTATTCACACTGTATGCGAGCAATTATATCTTGTTATTTAATAAACATCAATATGTGTTACAAAAATTGTAAATAGACTGCCTGTTTTTAGTTTTTTCTCTATATTACCAAAATGTTCGGCTATTCAACGCCTCTTTAGACTTTTATGAGTAAGTTTGTATGGAATCATTTAATCGAAGAACATAACATCTCGGATCCTTGAATGACCAGGGTATTTTCTCAGGTTTTCCCCATTTCTGGGGGAACTGATTTAGTGTCAGCTTGTTAAACTTAATATGGCTATTTAGCTCACTTTGATCTGCTTTCAGGTTCTGGGATGGAATGAAGCGAATCGATCTCTGGATAAAGTGTTCTCTGCAATTTCTGAATAAACGTCAGAAAATTTTGTCGATGGTTAGTGAGTTAATGATGTTACATAGATTTTTCTGTAAGTGTTTGGGGTAATAAATAATCATTTGGAGTTTGTTTAATTGAACTTTTGTCGGAGCGGCAAAAGTTTGCAAAAAAGATCTTGGAGTTTGTAAACAGGTAAGAATATTTTTATACCTTTTTCTTAGGTTGAGGCATTTTGTATGCCTATATTGTTAAAAAGTTTATTAGAGCGCATTTTTAAAAATAATTTCATTTTTATTTATATTTTGTATATTTCTAAAAGATTTCTGAATTATGTATTTTTTTTTACTTTCTAAATGTGTATCAAAATTTACATTATTTGTGATTATGTTTCTATTCGTTAATTAAAATATTTTTGACAATTAGTTTTCAAAAAATCACCTTCTTCTGAACAGGTAATTGTTTTGGAGGAGCATAATTGAAAGAAAAAGAACGATAAAGGAATTGGATGAAATATTTCGACTGTTTTGTTTATCTTTTATGCTGCGACAATTTGGTTTTCTCTATTGAGACTTAATCAGAGAACGACATAACCGTCATCACCTAAATAGTCTTTATGGGTTTTGTGTAAAATCATTCTTCAGTGTTTCCGTCAACGGTACATTAACACGAATGTAATTTACTGAAGTCAGTGGCTACAATTTTATTAAATCCTTTCTAGTAAGATTTGTTTGTCACATCTTTTTCTTTTTATTTCAAAGATTCTGTCATGAAGAGAGAACTTCGAACACTCCTTTTTGGACTGGTGTATGCTATTTTTGTTGAAGCAAAAATTAGAAATGGACAAAAATCGCGATTAAGAAACCAAGGTTCGTGTCAGTTGGAGGTTACTTGTGATGGGGGGGTGAGCCTCCCACTTCGACTTCCCATGAGAGGCCCGAGGGGTCCCCCTGGTGCCCCCGGAGTTAAAGGGGACAGGGGCGAGAAAGGAGAAAGGGGCGAACCAGGGGTGCCCGGAAAGTCAGGTAAAAATAGTTTCATGTAATAGTTCGGATTTATTTTGCAAAATGATCATCGTTGATTAAAAGTTTAACGCAATCAGCGTATACTTTACGGTATTTCAAAACTTGTGCTTGCTTTCTAGGATATAGTTGTCTTCATACAGAGGTATACAATTCTTGATCTTTCTTTTTATTTTCTGGTATGACCCAAAAAGGGGATTTACCGGGGTAATTTTTCCAAAAAAAAAAATAAGATTAAGGATTTGATTCCTGAATAAAACGTGTTCTAGTTACTTCGATGTGTTTCATATATCCTTTCACAGAAGTAAACAAGGGGAAAAAGAATGAAAACCATACTTACTTCGCTGTTTTATTAAAATACTTTATACCCGTAAATCTGGAATTTTTTAATGTAGATAAATTTTTAGCAAATTTGCGCGTGCATCGCATTCGCAAAAATATTTTTCTTAAAAATAAATCAACATGTAAAGATTTTTTTTTCTGAAAGCTGGTGTCTATTTTTAACTCAGTGAATAGGCATCAGTAAGCACTGGTCATTTTTAAAAAGAAACCTGAGTGTTTATACTACTGTAACTACAAGCTAATTATCCGCGCGTGTAAATTGCCCTCATTATATGCATTATTGTGTGATGTTATGTCCCTTTTAATTATTTTGCCAAGAAAGAGAGACCGGTTATTTTATATAACCATGTATCAACAAGGGCGATAACTCGAACTCAGTGCATTTACTAGAGAGTTCCAAATGTAAACACGGCGTGTAAATTTTAGGAGAGAAAAAAAAACAAACGTTGAGAAAATAAGTTATATTTTTGTCTTTATTTGGATTATATTTTAGGTTAAAAGGCATACACAACCTCTAAACGGTTTGTTATTATTAATTTAGAAGTCATTTCAGTATAAATCCTTTTGTATTTTTATCTTCAAAATTGTTTCGGAGCGATTCTGCAATTTCTTGCCACGTTGCGAGTATATTGGTGTTATTCTAACTGTGCATACTAATTCAAAACATAAACTGATATGAACATTTTAATAATTAGTGATTTTTATTTTTAGCGCCAGTGACAATTCGCAAAATTTTGAAGCGTAAAGATTAATCAACAGCTCTTTGACCCAAATTTGCAAAAATAAATCGACGTAAAAATTTCCAGATTTACGGTATATACTAAATAACCAATTTATATGACAAAATTACAGAAGTTTTGTGGGTTTTTTTCTTCTGTCTTAAAGACTCGAAACCTCTGATATTTCAATTTTAGGTAATGTCATGTCAGAAAAGAGAGAACGTCTAGAGAGGGTAGCTTTTTTCACTGGTCTTAATGATAATATAAATGGGCTACAAGCTGACGAGGATGCCAGGTTTGACAGTGTGATTACAAACATTGGCGGCTGTTATAACTCGGAGACTGGTCGGTTCCGGGCACCAGTTGACGGAGTGTACCAGTTTAATATCGCAGTAGCAGCACAGGGAAAGCACAAGGTAATATCTGTATCTAAACGGACAGGAAAGACCTCAACATTCTAATATTTGGAATGCGATATTTTTTGTCTGTTAAAAATTTATTGATGTACATTCGGTATTTGGTGAATGAACGGTAAGTGGGAGATTGAAGACGATTGACAAAAAGGCGTGGGTAGTGTGAGGGAGAGAATGAGGATGACACAAATAAAGAGGACTGAAGGTAATGGGAGGAAGAAGGACTCAGCTTTTCCCATTCTCATTCATATTTGATATTTTAAAAAAAAATCTTTTTCAACTTTATGAAATTAATGTTATTCGTAAAATGAAACATATGGAGATGACGAACAGTATTCAAGATCAAAGGTCCTTAAAACAATACAAAACAGGAGAAGAGCAAACACGGACCCCCGAAACATCAGAGGTAGGATCAGGTGCCATAGAAGAGTGAGCATCCCCTGCCGACCGGTCACAACCGCCGTGTGCTCCTTGTCATAATTGGGAAAATAACGGAAAAGTCCGTCGCCAGTGTATAAATAATAGACTAGCAATTAGTATGAAAAACGTCAGTCAGAATTTGACTGAATGATAAATTGTATTTGCTTACAAGGTCATTGTATCGACAATAGAAGTGTCGAAATGATGACTTTAAACGAGACTGCTGATATTCTTGTTTTATCAACTTAATTGTTAACTTGTTTGTCAATAATTTACCTCGTTTGAGAAATTGTTCATACGTAGAGCATGCTCTTGCGAATCGAATCAACTGAGAGATATAAACTCCGTATGTATGGTGATGAAGGTATATTGCTGCATAAGTAAGGGAAGTTGACGATTGAAAAGTGAAAGTCAGATCATGTTTATCTTAGAGTTTGGTTGTTAGATTACTATGGAACGCCGTCACTGCCTTATAGCAGAACACTGCGATTGCATTGCGTCAACCTTCCATTACATTATGTCAACTCTTTATGACATTTACTCACACTGGTATTGCATTGTGTCAACTTTCCTCTACATTATGTCAACTCTTTATGACATTAACCCACACTAGTATTGCATTGTGTCAACCTTCCATTTTATTATATCAACTCTTTATGACATTAACCCACACTACTATTGCATTGTCTTAACCTTCCATTACATTATGTCAACTCTTTATGACATTAACCCACACTAGTATTGCATTGTGTCAACCTTCCATTATATTATATCAACTCTTTATGACATAAACCCACACTACTATTGCATTGTGTGAACCTTCCATTACATTATGTCAACTCTTTATGACATTAACCCACACTACTATTGCATTGTGTCAACCTTCCATTATATTATATCAACTCTTTATGACATAAACCCACACTACTATTGCATTGTGTGAACCTTCCATTACATTATGTCAACTCTTTATGACATTAACCCACACTACTATTGCATTGTCTTAACCTTCCATTACAGTATGTCATCTCTTTGTGACATTTATTAGCACTACTATTGCATTATCTCAACTTTCCTTTACATTAGGTCAACTCTTTATGACATTTACACACACTACTGTTACATTGCGACAACTTTCTTTTACATTATGTTAACTTCTTTATGACATTTACTAACACTTCAATTATATTGCGTCAAACTTTCACTGCATTATATCAGCTCTTTGTGACATTATGTCAAAAGATTTTTACGTGGTGTTAAGATACATTTATATAATTTCAAATCGGTATTACATTACGTGCACTCTCTACTATTTGGTCTGAGTAGTTCATTACCTGATGTGAATTTATCTTAATTTGATATCAAGTCGCTATAATACGATGTCAGAATTTCATTACATGATGTCAAAAAATTGTCACATGTGGTCAATTCTTTTACTACATTATGTTATCAATATGCTACATGACGACGTGAATCAATTTCATGATGTGAATTTGCCCTTACTTTTTAACAAATCGTTATTACGTTATGTCATTGTGTCTTTACATTGTGTCAAAAATGCTCAGCCTCTTGTCAGAATACATGTATCTTAGGCTATTTCATATTGATCTGCTGTGGAAAGCTCATGTTATACTGTGCGCACTCTTCTACATTATGTCGATTCACTATTACGTTATGCGAACACGGGTATCCTCGGCCTTTATATGCGCATAACGTATTTTCCGCGTTCCGCAGGCACTAAAAATGGCGGGAAAGAAAACAGTCGTAGAAGAAATTCTCGGCGATTTGGGAATGGCATATTTAAATGAAAACGTAAAGCGACAAATGATTGACAATCTTGAAACGTGCAGCGCAAGGCCTTCACACTGCGACTGTGAATTAATTCTAATGGCGTTTACTTTAATCTGATAATTAAATAAATCAAATATTATGAGTCGAGCAGCATTTTTTTTTATTTACATATTGAATTGTTTTTTTTTTTTTTTTTTTTTTTAATAGAAGTCTTAAACTTCTTATCTTATTAAGAACATTGTCATATGCTTTTTATCAGTCTCTACCTCTCCTTTCTATTTTTAAAAGTGTTTAACACACAGTATAACAAACGTGCAACGGTGGGTTGGGGGTTGGGGGCAGGAATCCCGTCCTTCCATCTTTAGTGACCAAAATATACATAAGATTAATAAATTTATTGGTTTACTTTGTAGGACATTGCTTAAGATTAGCTGAATTAAGTTGAAAACTTTTTTCTATAAAACTATAAAGCCTAAGGGCTTCTTCCCCCCTTGGTCTCCAACCATATACCGTCCCCCTTCCTTGTGCAAGATTCCCATATCCGCCACTGATATGTGCCCATGCATGCTTGCTAAGGCATATTCAACTGATTTAGACTGATATATAGATTTTTGTAATAGAATTCTGGCACTGGAATTGTTGAAAAAATTACTAATTCCAGTGACGTAGCATCTTTTTTGAAAGGGGAGCCGAGGTCAGCCAGAAAAAAAATCTACTCGAAACAAAAAAAGTCCTAATTTTTTTCCAAGTATACTACATTACCCGTAGTGGACTATACTTCAAGAAAAAGTGGGGATGGGGCTGTGCTTTCCATGAACACTACATTTTCTATAGTAAAGTTATATGTGGGAAAAGAGGGGGGTGGGCTGATATTATGTGCCTGAAATTCGTCCTAATCAATGAAGAGCCCCCCCCCCCTTCTCTTACCAGTCATTAAAACATGGTCGTCAACATTCATTATATACCAGATATACAGCTTTGAGATAATGAAAATGTATTTTTACATCAGGTAATGAACTTTTGGAATCAATATGATGAAGAGTTAACACAATATAAAGATGTTTTTAAATCACATTAGAAAAGGTTGACATAACGTAATTATATATCCACATCACGGAATGGAGTTTTGACATAATGTAATAAAGTGTTGATATAATATAAAGTTATGTTCACATTATGTTATACACTTTTTACACCGCGTAATAAAGCACTGACATGAAGGTAAGATGTGTTCACCTCACATAATGATGCTCCCGACGTATAATAAAGATAAATCCATATCACGTAATAATGATTTGATATAACAGAAATATACACTCTCAAAAAGGAATGGATTTTTGACTTCATGTAATGATAAGTTTAATTATAAAACACAATTTGCTTGACGCAATGCGATTTTGACCTCGCATATTAAAGAAATGAAATGATGTAAAGAAACATTCATTTCAAGTAATAAAGTTTTAACACAATGTAAACACATAATCACTTAACCAAATGGATTTTTTACTTCAAGTTATGAAGTGCTGACATAATAAAAGAATGTATTTACTTCATGTAATGCAGTATTGACATGATGTTATGATATTTTCACATCATATCATAAAAAATGGCATAACGTAAAGATATGTTCACATCACGTAATGATAAATTGACATAATAAATGCATAGTTGTATGCTATAAGGCAGTGATGGCGTTCCATAGATTACTATTAACGTCCTTTCAAGTAAAATATCCAAATATGTGTCAGACTCTGTGGATCTTTTATCTCAAGCTCACCAGGATATATCGTATCGACATAAGAATGGGAATTACCATTGTTAATTGACAATACGTCGCCGACATATTTACATGTCAAGTTGAAGGCTGTAGCAAGTGTTTTCTTATTTCACGCATAAGATTTTGCACAAATTCTGCTTCATGTGAATTCAGAAATAGGTCTGCTAATAATGGAGTGCAGTTGGTACCCATGGGAATTCCAATAGATTGTTGGAAGACCTGGTCTCCAAAAAGAATAGATATTGTCAGTCAGAAACTCAAGCATCTCAGTTTTTTATGTCAACTTTAGTGTACTTGTTGTGTACTATCAGAATGTTTTTATTGTCAATAAAAAAAAACTCAAGCATCTTTTTTATGTCAACTGTAGAGTATGTGTGTGTACAATCAGAATATTTTTTTTTACAAACAAGGAAAATTGAACAAAATAAAATTCTCAACTTTAGGCAGCTGTGGATCTGGTGACGTCACATCCTCTATTATTACCACTAAACAGAACACAGCCAGTGCCACTGGTACTGAAGCTAGGGAAAGACTCGACACAACTTCCGCGGGAACAAATGATTATGAGAGTGTGGGCGGAGAGTCTACCACTGTGGTCAACAGCAACCAACACCGCCATATTGAGTTTGCGCCGAGGGCAACAAGTCTGGCTGCGCATACTCAAACGAGCCTCCTTTCTCCATGGTTATATGTATTCTTCTTTCTCTGGGACTTTGTTATTTTCAACTGAGGTGTAAATCAGATATTGCATATTTATCATGCAATTACATTCTAGATATTTTAAAATGTACGATTTAAGTTTTTCTTAGTTCTTTTTTCATTTTAATTCAAAGGCATGGCATCTTATTTCATTCGTTTGTCATACAATTTATGTTAGTTGACCTAATTGTCTATAGTCAATAAAACATCCAAATATGAAACAGATATGGCAGACTCTATGCTTTCTTTTATTTCAAGTTCACTTGGGTATATCAAGACGAAGTAGACATATAAATGAAAGTAATCATAGTCATTAATTGATAAAACGTCGTTGACATATATTTGAATGTCGAGCAAGGCCACAGCGTGTTTTCTTCTTCTCATGAAATTTTTTAAATTCATGGGAATATGAAAACAAATTGGCTTAAAAGGAGTAAAACTAATGACAATCGAAGTTTCCAACAGTTTTTCCGAAGACCTGGTTCGGGTTTCAGATTGCTAGAAGAACTGATCACCAAAGACTAAAAAATATTGTCATGGAGCTTTTAATATCAACCTCAGAGTATTCCTAAAATTAGGGAAATCTTTAACGATGTAGTTTTGCTGATGACTAATGAAAAGGTTTGAAAATTTCCAAGTTCCATTTTATTGAAGAAGCAGTTGTGTGTGATGTCAAAGAGCCTAGCTTTTTCATTTTTCTCGAGGAATGGTTGCTTGAAGCGTAGAAAAATCGTCTGCTTTGGAAAATTGGTGACTTTAATTTTCTTAGAGTTTTAGAAGTTTTTGTATCCACATCTGATTTACACAACTTCTAGAATATGCTGTAGTGGAGTACTTCCTTACAATGCAATATTTGTGTGATGAGTAGAGACATAGCTTGGTAGAACATTTGCTTGACCCTGCAATGTAAAGAATTTTAAGAAGTTTAGGAATCCAATATACGTAAAGAAGTTCAAACTCAGCTTGGTTGACTTGAATATAAAAAAAATTAAACACTGCTATGTAATTTTTAAAAAAAGCGGTCCTGGAAAGTGAACTATAATGGTATGCAGGATTTTTAAACGTAAAATTACAGCCAAGATCCTATTAGATACAGTAATGATAATGAGCCTTTCAAACAAAGACGATATTGTCACAAGCATTAAGCCTGCCTGCTAGAACTTTACCATATTGTTCTAAATGAAGTCCTTCTAATTCGTTCATCACCTCCATTTGAGTGAACATCATCTCGACATAATAATTATATAAAGATCTTATACCCTGATAGGTACCTCCATGATTTAAAATATTCCAGGGTGATATTATGACAGTTTTTATCTCTGTGCCTTTGTCATATTAAAATCACTTCACAGATAAGGGTAGAAGCGTGCATTAAATGTGATTAATTTTAATAATTCGGGAAAAGTTTCTAAATCCATAAAAAAGATAAGAGTACGCTCAAGATATATAGGACCACGTTACAAAGAAAGTTACAGAGAAATTCTCCACAGATATATCATTATATTTGTACCTAAAAAGAAAAGATTTGCGCCAGATAATCTTGGAAGAAATTAAAGTATAAATTTGCGCATGTTCTTACAATATATAAAACCCAATAAATTGATTTTCAACGATGACAAAGGTACGGTTCTCGTTAAATCGGCTTAGGAAGGTATCTTCTGTAACATGCGGTCCCGTACTTATTGACCACCGACTCCTTATCTTAATGCACCGTGCACCATGCTGGTGAGTACATTTAATATTTACTTTATAAATTTAAAGTACAATTCTGCCTTTATTTAAACTTTGAAAAAAGAACAATTTTTAATTATGACATCAATTAAAATTGTTTACGAAATTTGACTTTTCTCCATTTCCTCGCCTCACGAAACTGATTTCTAAGAACATTTTTACGTGTCAACGATATTGCATTAACTTAAGAATTTTCATTTCAAACTTTTTCACATGACACCATCTTCAAATTAATACGAAATATATGCGTGGTTTTAACTTTCAGAGATTTATGAAGTCAGTTCTCCTACTCTGTGCTGTAATACTGATCGTGGTCCTGTTTATAGAAGTATATAAACAATTGCCTTTTGACCGTAAGTGTGGATTTATCAATACTTTGTCGTCCTTTGGTGCACCACTAACACCTGTAAGATAACGTTTTCAATAGAACCTGTCCTTCGAACTGTATATATACCTTCACAAATCCAGTGTATGTATGGCATATTGTCTAAATGTCAATCGCTTACGCAACTTCCATCTGAGCCTTAAACACGTAGAAAGATTTTTAATTAAGTTCAGTTTTACTTGCATTTCATTCGAACGCACTTTCATTTAATTTTTATGCGCCCGAATTTACTCGGGGCGTATATTGTTTTTGTCCTGTCTGTCTGTTTGTTGTCAACTTTAACCTTCGCCATAACTTTTGAACCGTGAGAGATAGAGACTTCATATGGTATGCATAGTTTACTAATTAAGCACGTTCAACTGACACCAACATCGATGACCTTGTGACCTTGACTGTGACATATATGCTAAAAACAGCTTTTTCGAACTTTTGCCATTACTTTTGAACCGTAGGAGATATAGTCTTCATATTTGGTATGCATACTCCGATAATTAAACTCTTTCAAATAACTCCAAGGTCAAAGATCTTGTGACCTTGACTGTGACCTACATACCAAAAATACCTTTTTCGAACTTTCGTCATAACTTTTGGACAATAGGAGATGGAGACTTTATGTTTGGTATGCATACTCCCAACTAATTAAGTGCTTTCAAATAACACCTAGGACAATGATCGTGTGACCTTGACAGTGACCCCATATGCTAAAAATTGTTTTTTAGAACTTTGTTGCCGCCGGACGCATAGTGTTTCACAAACACATCTTGTTTAATATATTTTCTTTTTATCTAAATCGCAATCTTCCCTAGCCAAGAGTTTCTGATCCGCTACCTAAGGGTTTCTGAGGAGAGTATTAGTCCAGAATCCCTTGGTTAGCCAAGATGGAGTAGATAAAGATATCTAAAGTGAAAGTGAATTCCAAAAAGCTAAACTTAATTGTAGCAAATACTAGTAGTATCCTCTGGTACATGTACCTTGCAAAAATGCCTGGAATCCCTGGACATTCCTTAATTTGTGAGGAAATTTGTTAGTTAAAGTGACAATACTTCAATGAAAAATTCTTGAAAAAAAATTTTACACTGTGTATTTTTGATGAACTTTTCGTATGATCTTGATTCAAATACCCAATTTAAAGAAGTTCTCGAAGACAGATCATGATCAAAATGGCCACCCTTATAATTCGAGCAAATTTCGATTTGTCCAGTCTCCATCGTTTTGTCATTTATCTCTGTATTAAAGTTTAATACCTGTCAGTTGACAAATATGGCAGTTTACTCTTCATAGGGTATAAACGTGTTTTTTCCCTTTTTTCATAGAATATGCCGTTTTTAGTCCTCGCCCAGGGAAACGGTTGGTTCTGGTGTTGACCTACCTTCGTAGCGGATCGACATTGACCGGGGATATTCTTCAGCAATCTCCGAAAGCATTTTACCTGTACGAACCCTTGAAACTCCATAAATCCAAAATATTTCTGGACGGCCAAGCATGCGAAACAGCCATGATGAACTGTTCGTGGGTACATCGTAACTACAAATATTTTAATTTAGTTTAATGAAAAGGCTCTGCAGACTTAACCAATATGTTGAAGCATTTGAATTTTGAAGCAAACACATCGAATTAACTTAATTTAAAGTGGTAATTTTTACTTATTTCAGGCACTTTAACACTAGTAAAATTGTAGAAGTTTTTGGCGATCTCTTCCGCTGTCGTCTGCAAACACACAAACAGAATATTCTTGGTTCGCGGAAGCACAGTTTGGCGGTAATGAGTGCAATTCCTTACTGTAGATCCAGACCAGGCTTTGACACGTGTATGAAGAAGGTACAGACAATTTGTCACCAGTCTCAGTCAGTTATTGTCAAAACTATCCGTCTGTCTATGGAATTTGTCCCGCGTCTTTTGTTGAAGTTCCCGGATCTTCGTGTTATTCACTTACTGAGAGATCCTCGTGGAACTATGGACTCCAGAAGACGTGGCGGATTTCTTAGAAAAACGAAAATCGGATCGAGTGCTAAATGGCTGTGTGAACGAATCCAGAAAGACGCAGAATATTCAAAAGCTCTGCAAAGACGGTTTCCCAACCGGATTATAACAGTGCTATACGAGGAGATAGCCGGGAATCCAATAGCAATGTCAAATAAATTATATAGATATCTGAATTTAGAGTTCAGTGATAGATTTGACGAATGGATTTTTAATCACACTTCCGCAGGGAACCCTAATAATTCCTTTTACGGAACGATTCGCTCAAACTCTACTCTTACATCACAATCATGGAGAAAGAGATTGAAATTAAGGGACGTAAAACTGATAGAGGAAGAGTGTAAGAATGTGCTTAATTTACTCGGGTTCAGAAAGGTTGCTGATGAGGAGGATTTGAGAAATATGGACAAGAGTTTAAGAATTCGTAGTTTACAAATGTTGGTATAAGTGTTTTGGAGTTAACCTGGATCGTATTTCTGCCGATTTTGTAATTACCAAAGACAGTCATCAAGAATGAATGCTGATATGCAGCTTTAGAGTCTAAAGGCATGGTCAAGATATTTTACTAATATTTCTCGACAAAACAATTAAAAAATAAAAGACATTGGGGAAGAGGAGTACGAGTTGCTGACTCATTCTAAAACGCCAAAATTCTGGAAATGAGAACAATACATAAGATTTTGAAGTCAAATCAGTTGATAAAATGGGGGAAACCATGAATTGCTGTATATGATGTTTAGCCTACATATCAAGAGAAAATAATTAATTAATTCAACTCGCATGAATATTCACAACTTGAAGTGACATGTAGCCACTCGGTAAATTCAAAATTTACAATACAACAGAAATTAATGTGTTGATAAATCTGTTAATATTATCACAGACATTTAGCGGTTGAAACCTTCCTTTTCATTAATAAAAATATTATCCCCATACTATAATAAGGCGGATTCTCACCAAACTTGCCTCAAAACAACCAAATAAGGCCAAAATAAAATTATAGTTTGTTTGGAATTGCCTCCCGCCTCATTGAAATGCCCCCTCCTGAAAAAATTTTATTGACCAAAAGTAGGAAGATTTTTTTTTATTTAATCAATTTTTTTTTTTTGCCCATTACATGTATCACATGCACCATACAAAACACTGAAATAAAGTGTCAGATCTATGTAAAATTAGGTTTTCAATAAAAAAAAAATAATTTCCCTCCCTCCCTCCTGGGTCTGAAACCCTTCAGGCAGCAATTCCAAACAAACAATTTTTTAAGGATGGCCTAAGAATCAAAATTTTATAGAAGTGTGTAGGAAATATAATGAATTTGAGATCAGACTTTAGTATTAAGTATGTGAATGTTTTTATTAAAGGACACAGACACAAATCTGAAGTTAATATTTTCTAATTTCTGTATATATCATGACTTCTATGTTGCTGTAGCAATTCACATGGGAATATTATAAAGTTTATTTTATCCGGAAATTATTGAAACTACGAATTTGGGATGCGTTTGATTGGCACATCCTTGAACTTTCAAAAAGTGAACTTTACCCTTAATACTTCAAAGGAGAAAATTTGTTGTTTATTGATAACAAAAAATTAAAATATATATCCAGACAAAAAAAAACAGATATTGAAATGTGAGAAAGCAAAACCAACTCACCAGTATGTCAGTCCATGCTTAGTGATGTGTGCAGATATTAAAAAATTCAACACACCCGGTGAAACATAAACATTAACAATAACAGGGCTTTTTTATTAAAGTTTATTTTAAATAAACCAAAAAATACCAAAAAACAGTAACTATTTTTCCTCTTCTAACACCAATTATCTTCCACTAGCCCAGGGTTTATAATCCACCCTGCTCCTCATCAGCTTTACAGGGAGCAGAGTGGACTAAAAACCTTTGGCTATCAAGATGCACCATAATAAATTAACTGTCGAACATTAATGATACATGAACATTATGAGGACCTTTCATGACCTCCTCTGACAAGAACATCTCACCGATTTCAAAGTTTTTGCTTGGTTTAAAATAGAAATTAAATAAAAAACATATATGTACTGGAGGCTGAAGTGTTCTGTTAAAGAAATAGATGTACAATTTTTAACACTACACTTGACTTGGTCATTCTTACATATCAAGATCATTCTGGTCCAAAACACCAGCTCCTGGCTGGTTCAAAACAACATATTGGTTTTTCTTTCTCTCTGATTGGTTGTTACAGCTGTAAAGGATTGTTCTGATTGGTTCCTACATTTGTTGGGTGGAGTTCCCATTCCATGTGGCGTTTTCATCATCGTCATCTCTCATTTCAGTCAACCTGCGGACATTTCCCTCTGACCGTATGGGTCTCCGCTGGTAGGCTCTACAACAAAGGAACAAATAAACTTGAAGTGGTTAAGAATTACATTTGTAGGTTAGAGACAATTAATTTGACTTCTTCTGACACAAGCTTATTTTGATTGACTTCTGACATAAGCACTAGCTCTTCACCTTTTTCTAGAGGGTTCACTTTGACGTACTCTTATTTTAACCTTTCTACAGTGAATAAAAACCATAAACTAAAAAAGAATTTAGATGCATTTCAGTTCATATTGGTCCTATACATTACATAGGTTTGTGGTCTGGTCTTCCTTTGAGATGAGGACTGAGATTTGTCTGAATTACTTACATTTGTGGTCTGCTCCTCCTTTGAGATGAGGACTGAGATTTGTTAGATTTACTTACGTTTGAGGTCTGGTCCTCCTTTGAGATGAGGGCTGAGATTTGTTAGATTTACTTACGTTTGAGGTCTGGTCCTCCTTTGAGATGAGGACTGAGATTTGTTAGATTTACTTACGTTTGTAGTCTGGTCCTCCTTTGAGATGAGGACTGAGATTTATAAGATTTACTTATGTTTGTGGTCTTCTCCTCCTTTGAGATGAGGACTGAGATTTGTTAGATTTACTTACGTTTGTGGTCTGGCCCTCCTTTGAGATGAGGGCTGAGATTTGTTAGATTTACTTACGTTTGAGGTCTGGTCCTCCTTTGAGATGAGGGCTGAGATTTGTTAGATTTACTTACGTTTGAGGTCTGGTCCTCCTTTGAGATGAGGGCTGAGATTTGTTAGATTTACTTACGTTTGTGGTCTGGTCCTCCTTTGAGATGAGGACTGATATTTGTCTGATTTACTTACGTTTGTGGTCTGGCCCTCCTTTGAGATGACTGAGATTTGTTAGATTTACTTACGTTTGAGGTCTGGTCCTCCTTTGAGATGAGGGCTGAGATTCCTCGGAGGTTGGTGGTGTATCCTCGACTTTTTCTTGTGAGGATCCACCAAACAGAAAAACTCGGATCATGTTCCACAAAAATAAAAATGGGGCCAAAATAAAGGCCAGAATTCCACCACCTGAATTCCCTGGCTTGGATATCACATTGGATTTTCTCTGTAAAGATATTTCATATACAGTTCAAACAGAATTTTATCAATGCTCAATTGGCAAAATTATTAATTTTGATAAGCTTGAGTTGCTTAATTTATCCACTGTATAAATTATATGTAAAAGATGTTGGAATTAAAATAAAAAGGAAATGGCTTGAGAATTTTAGTCATATATGAGTAGATTCAAATTTCTTAAAACCAACCAACCATATCTTTAATTTTGCTTGAATATACCCAAAATGAGAAAAATGAGAAATGATTTCTATCTTTGTGAGGTCTTATTTGTGAAAGATTGTTAATTGAAAATAGATGTAAAATGCAACTGAAAATTCTGCTAGTCTAATCTTGCTAGTGCCTACATGCATTCTACTAGCCCGAACGAAATTTGACTAATGTTTGGGCATTTGGCTAGTGCTTTTGGTGCACACCGATCACAGAGAAGGAAACCACACTCAGAAAGAGCAGTGTGTGTATGAAATATACTTACTGGTACAGCTATTAACACAGAGGAGGGGACCAGATTTAATGATAGCAGAGTCTGTGACATGTCCTCCTGTGTAAAGATTCTCTTTGGGTAGACTGTAGAAAGGGTAACGTCAGCACCAATACGCTGCAAAACAAAAAACACAAAATAGTACAGAACTCCAAAATTAGTGTAAAAGAAATCATATAAATTACACAAACTAGTGTGTAAAAGAAAACATTTGTCCATAGACAGAACACAGCTGTTTTTTTTTTATATGTATTTCTTTTTATCAAGTAACGTTGAACTTACTCCTGAGACAACGGTATAAACACTCCGCAGTATATCAGAGGACGGGAATGTGTTGGATATTGACGTTCCGTCAGGGAGTCGAACCTGGATCCTGGTCATCTCCCTACAACAAACAAACAAAAGATTGATACATGTACTCTAGTAAATAAATCAATAGAAAATTTCTCAAAAATGATTATATATGGATCTTCAGACAACAAAAGTGAGAAAATGATAACTCTTCACTAATCTTTTCCCTATACATTAATCAATCCTATGGAGCTCACATTTTCTTGGCCTCCTCCTCCTCTGTGAGTTTTTGTCGTGCTGATAGTTGCGCCTGTTTTTTCTCCTCTGCTGCCAGTTTCTGTTCCTGGGTCTCCTTTCTGAAGCGAGCTGCTCTCTCCTCCCTAAACGAAACAAGAATTTCTCTTATTTGAATACCCAGTTGTTGGTTTACCTGTTTTATGATTCCCTAATCATCTCTAGCTTTATGTTCTTTAATTTTAACCTATTCTGTTATCCAGTTGTCTGTTCCCTAAGTCTATACCTATCTCTAGCTATTTGTTCCCTGATTTTGTCTCGTTGACGCTTCTCTTCAGCCTTTTCTTTCCTCATCTGCTCCGCGGAATCCTTCAGTTCTCTCTCCTTCTGGAAATCCTTAAGTTTCTGTAAATCTTTTCCAAGCTTCCGTCTTTCCTTTTCCTCTTCTTTCACTTTCTAATTTCAATCAAATTATACAGGAAATTGATTAGAAATAACCCCAATAAATGATAAAACAATATTTTATGTTGTCCAGTTTATAATAAATACATGAAATCTTACACTACTTTCCTGTTTTTTTTATATCAATACTGAACATATAAATATTACTGATACACATACACATATTAAATATTACTGATATATTAGGCCATAAAAAATTAATTTCTGGGTTCTCAGGCCCTCCCTCATCTCTTTCAAGGGTGCCTCCTTGACCATTTTTACTGCTAAATCAATAAAATAAAAAGAACAAATCACCTGCCTCATCATTTTTTGAGGTTTTGTACAAAGTAAAAAGCTGCCTCATCATGTTTTGGGGGCAAGAAAAAAGTAATAAATTAAAAGGTCTCCCTCCCTCATCATATTTCTTGAAAAAAGGCCTGAGAACCAAGGAATTAACTTTGCATGGCCTATTGGCCTTAAAAATCACTGATGCACATAAATATTACTGATATATTTGTACATATCCTCTACCTCTTTCTCAGTTTTCTGTTTTTCCTCTCTCTTTATTTCCATTTTCTCTTTTGCTCTGCAAATAACACCTGTGTAATAACTTCTATCTAATGCAAAAAAAACTTTTCTAATCCAGAAATGGTAAACATAATTACTTAATATAAATCTTACTTCTGTACTCGTTCCTCCAGAGGAGGCTTCTCTATCTCTGCTGGCTGTGTAGATGTGCTTGGTGCTGTGCTTTGTGCTGTGGATGTGCTGGGTTGGACCACGGCAGTGGGTGGACTAGGCTGGGCTGCAGACAACTGATCATTGTGTAACTACAAAACATAGCAGGAATGATAGACATTTTATTCTTAATTCAAGTAGATGACTTGCACATAACTTGGTCAATAGAAAATACATGTAAGAATAAATTTAAAAGATTTTCCTTACAACCTGACATACCTTGATCACATTCTGAATGACTTTAACAAACTCTGCTTTCTCTTTGTGACCTGCTGTCACCTCAATAGGTGCCCCGTTGACCCCAATAAAATATGTAGAGGGCACAACCACAACGGGAACTTTATAGAGTTAAGGCTTGAATTTGTATCACAAAAATACTGTATGAGCAGAGTTATTAGCAAGGATTTAATTTTTGCATTATTAGCGTGGGTTCTGAGATTGCGAACAATTTACTCTGTGTTAGTTGTTATAGTTATCTCCCTAGTCGTTAAAAAATTGCTAAAATTCATACACAAAAAATTTATATACCAATTTTTTTTTATAAATCTTGCGTCTCCCTAAAATTTCCACTTGCTCATTGCCACTGAAGGAATTATATTCATACATATTCTAGACTCCAATTGAAATACTTCCTCCTTTTTATTTATGGGTGTTTTTTTGACTTGGGATTATAATGACACTAAAATAATCATCTACCTTCCTGCACGTCCTATATAATCACTTCTGTGTGTGACAATTCATTGTCTTTTTTTTAAATAAAGGTCATTCATTCATTAACTGGTTGTATAAAAGGACTCGGCCTTTATGGGCAACCTGTATGTACATCCTGATAAAAGTCTTTTAAAAATTATCTCTTATTTCTTGAATAAAATAATCTGTTTGAAGTTTTGGGCCTGACTTTGCTTATGCCATGGTATTTACAATATTATATCATTATATATATAAAACTTATTGGTATTAGAGAAAAAGATACAGATCTGTGAAAAATGTCCGCACGCCTCACTGAAATACAAGACAAACATTTTGTTTTATATATCTCTGGAATTTTGCTTTTGCTTGTGTTACATTATCTGTATGTTTACCTCTTACATAGATTCTCATGCATATTTCAGACCTATTAATTAACTGTAATATATAACTTAAATTCACTGCATACAATCAAAATCTTTTTAAGCATTCTCAGATTAATCTGTTATTCACGATTAATGTTTAAAGACAACAATTCATTTTCTGTACAGAATTTTCTTTCACCTGTTTGCAGCAAGTTTGATGGCGACACTTCCACTACTATTGCACAATGTTATGACTTCTGGGTCATTCCATACCTTATCCATTTCTGTTGACATGTCGTTTTGTCCTGTAAAATAAAATTTTGATTCATCTGAATTAAATAAAACATAGGTAATCAGAAATATTATATTTAAAGCTATAAAATAAAATATGCTATAAAAATATAAAAGAATTTTAGAAGACTCTGTTATCCTCTTAAAAGAAGGATATGGTGTCCGTACCTTTTTTAAAGAGCAAACTCTGGGTCTCTTGTTTCATATATGGCAAGATATTGGTACTGAGTTTTGAATACTTTTTTTACAGGATACATTCCTTATTTATCTTTTAGTAATTTAGCATCACCTTAAAACGCAGTATCCTACGATATCTTGCCATATCTGATATTTTGTCTTGAAACGTTAGGCTCAAAATAATGATCATCCAAGTATACTAACCATGAACGTAGACAATGAAAAGAACTTTCTGTTGCTTGGATCTCTGAATAGCTTCAGGTATACTTCCATTAAACCAATTCATCTTTTGAGACATATTACAGGGAATGATGAAGATTTTTGAAAAACGAAAGTAAAACCGGAAATAGAATCATCATTTAAAGTTAACATTAGGACGTACATATATTTTTCGCATGAACTTGCAATCAAATCGTCAGGATGTATTTGATAATATATATTATGTGTGTGTGCCTATATGTCTCTATAAAAAATCTTATTTGTTATGATATTTAACCACCTATGCCGGGCGTTTTATTTCAATATGATATTTGGAAAAAAAAATGACTAAATGTAATATTCTTCCTTTTTAGAAAAGTGTACCAACTTCTTGCAGTACTTTTCTTCATTCAAACAACTACAAAATAACTACATGTATACTGAAACAAAAAGTGAGGGGACTGACCTTTCACCGAACATTTTCAACAATAAAAAGTTGTGTTTGGAGAGAAAAAAAAGTTGGGGGCGGGGTAGATTCGTACGTGTCTGATCCCATTGCTCATCAGTTTCCAAAGCTGTCAAATTGGAGCTATTCGATTTACTTGAATCCGTTGAATCAGCAAACTTATGTACATGTATAAACTGTTCAATTTTTTCTCAATTTAGAAATGGCATTAGGGGAAAAATTGCCTATTAAAAAACGGACTGGAAAATTATTATCATTATCATTTTATAAAATACAGTTCATCCTTGCCAATGACAAAACAGGAAGGGGAATGGGATGTTGGTGTTTTGAGTGGAAGATGCACTCAATCTATTCTTCATTAATTAAAATACTCTAAGTATTTCACAATCTCATCCATCGTTACAATCACGTTTTACTTAAGGTACTCCGATCCTAGCTCAGCCAGGAAAGATGACTCTTTAATTTATAATTTAATTCAATAAGTCTCAAAATGAAGCTTGAAAAAAAAATTCATGCAACAATTTTCATTTTATATCTATCAATGTGCTTCAAGGTTCTTTGAAGTTCACATAAAGGTCTTCATCGTCGGAGACCTACGGATGATCTCGTCTTTTCTGATAAGTAAAGACGAGATCACCCTTGGGTTTCCGACGATGAAAGGTCTTTTAAAAAGTCGAAATTTTTTACCCCATAATTGTATTTTAAAAATACATATTATTTAAAGAAATTGAGGTTCTTTTCATCTAACCATAGATACCAATGTTTATTAATATGATATGAAATTAGAAGGATAGATGGTGTTTTGCATAGGAAAATATTTATACACTATGCATTGTAAAATGATCGAAGTAAATAGAAGGAACAAAAGTACCTTATATGTATAAAAATTGTGCAACTTCTTCAAAAACCCGAATACCTATGATTTTTATACCCCCGCTTGAAAAATGGGCTGGAAAATAGTAATCTGGATGTTCGTCCGTCCGTCTGTCTGTATGTCCATCCATCCGTCTGTTACTCTTTGGGGTACCCATCTCTTTATATCCGCAACTCCTCTCAATCCACTGAATGAAATTTGATGAAACTTTCACAGAATCTTTATTACATATTGCCATTGTGACCTCCTAGTTGACTTTTTGATCTGACACATACTTTGGGTTTCCCATAGCAAAACATAGACACTGCCATTATATTCATATTTTTGTCTAATTTTTATTTTAGAGTTACTTCCCTTTGCCAATTTCTAAAATGTGTTTGTTGATCAAATTTGAATTGGAAAATGCATAGAAGGTGTTTTTATTCGCATTTCCTGAACATTTATTTCAGGTTTACTCCTTTTCCATAAATAATATGATTAACTTCACAGGTGTAGTTTGAAGAATTATCATGGGTAAAAACACGTTACTTTGAGAATTCAGAGAAATTTTTGTGAGCATTATCAATTGGTTAATACTTGATTTTCAGAACCCGAGGATCAGAGTACCTTAAAATGCATTCATAAATTATAAGATTAAAAATATTTAATATTTATTTTTTCTCAGCATCAGCAACAGTTCATTACAATTAGCTGCCTGTCAATTAAGCTTGGCATACATGTATATAAACATCATAAACACAGTGTGTTCATACTATAAGCAAGGATAGGAAAGGGAAAGCATTGTAAACAAGTTTTTTGGGATTTTTGTGTAACATCCCTTCACACTGTTCACCCATTTTGAGACATCGCCACTTGCCAGTGAAGGGTTGCAACTGTAGACCTGTACTGGGCACTAAGGGCCATTTAGCAGTAAGAATACATTCTTTTTTGTTGTGCCAGCACTTACTGTGACACAGGACCTAGGTTTATATATAGTTTTATCTTCAGGCTCCAGGACCAAGAATTGGATTCAATCCCAAGATGTAAGGATCAACTCCTTACTCTGCGACTGTAGGTTAAATGCTCTCATAAATGTGCAATGCAGGCAGAAGTGGTAAAGTACATGTAATCTAAATTCAACAGATACAACTGTTTGTATGTCTTATGAATAACATAAAAATAAGTAATGCTTATTCTTTATTACTTGAGTATTTGTACAATAATATTTCAATGCAGGTGTAAACATCTGAAGAAATCATCAGATATAATCAGACATTTACATAAAATACTTGATTGTATAATTCTAATTGACTCAGTAACAAAGGCAAATGTTACAATGCTGTGTCAAAAAAAAAAGCTTGACTAGTCCATAGCTCTTAAGGGGGATGTACGGCCACCTTTAGTGCAGTGAGAGCAAAATGTAAACATTTCTTCAAATGGCTAAAATACATTATATTTTGATCAAATTTTAAGTCTTTTTGATAAAGATACAATAAATATGCATAACCGAATGCATGTTGTGCATATATAATCTATACTTTTGCAGAAAAATGCTTTTGATATGCTCCTTAGAACTGCGCAGCTACAGAATTCAGCAGAGCCTTAAAAAATCCAAAAAAATATGCAACCTGTGCAGTAATGTTCTCTCTACAACCATTTGTTGAGAAAATGTCTAAATTTTGCACTTTTAAATGATAATTTCAAGTTCAAAACAAGGTACTATTGTCTTCAAAAAGAGTGTAAAGAACCATGAAAGTAGTTCATGGATAGCAGCACGAGGTCTATTTTTAGCACAGAATCCTGTTTTCCAGACCTCTTCTTAATATGGAGGGGCATAACAATCTTTAAATGTAGAAGAGAATTACAGTTGCAAAATATTTCAAATAATATGAACACTTTTAAAAGAGGAAAGGTGTTATAGTGTGGCTTGAAGTAATTTATTTAGTTTGAACATATTTTTTTTTTCTATTTGCCCATATTTTCAAAATTACAATTGTACAAAGTAAAGAGAAAAAATAAACTTATAAACATCTTTAAAATGATGTTTGGTGGTCCTCCCAACTCAGGGAAAAATTATTGGGTCCGTATTTATAGGTGAGAAAAAAAAATCCTTAAAATTTAAACAGAATTGTTTACGGAAGAAAAAGAAAAAAATATCGTGTAAAGGAATGTTAAAAAAATGAGTCGGGCCATTTCTAGGCAGTTATATAGATCGGGAGAGGGCAACCAAATATTTTTATAACAAGTGGTATTATAAGGCTAGTACATGTTCCATCACATACTTAGTAATGCACTTATTTTTAATCTTTGACACTATTTTGAAAAACAAACAAAGGATTTTCGGGGGAGGGGGGGGGGGGTAGCAATCACTTTTTTTGCGATGATAGACATAGCATATGCAATGGACCTTTCATTGCAAACATTGTGTTCGCTTCTAAATTTCATAGAAACAACTCATTATATTTTATCAAGCTTCGTATGTTCAATGAGCGAGAGCTTACAACGTTGTCAACATAATGAGACATGATGCGTTTTTGTGTCCAAACATGACCCCATACAATGTGTGGGTCATTGCAAACATTCTAGCTATTTATGTGAGGTGCCTGAAGGAAGTCCTATAAATGCCTATTTTTTCTATCTAACTTATAAACAAAATAGACATATGTACCAACTTTTCGAATGTAAGACATGTAATTACAATCTATTTTTCATGCACTGCGTATTGTTTAACATTTTCAAATTAAATGCTAAGCATCCTCCTTGCAGTGCCCCATTTGAAAATAACTTCTATCGCCACAGAAAAAAGACCCACCGTAAACACATATGTTTAGGACATTTTTATCTTTTTTTCTTGAGTTTTAAAGAAACCAACAAATTATCAAGACTTGTTCCATGAAAAATTAAATATAATCATGGTAATAAACGGATTTATCCACAGCAGATATATGCACATGCCAACCATGTGCTTAGTGGAATAATTTTAGCGAGGAATTTCGAGTTGTAAACAGAACAGTTTTTCCCGATTTGCTGGAGTGAGGTTAAAATCGCGTTTTTTCATTAATCAGACGATGCGATGCAACAAATAAAAGTAGTAAGTAATATAACCTAATGATTATTACTTAGTAATTTCTTGTCTTGGTGTTATTATGGTCGCATTTATTCTAAAATCATTGTTATTCGAACTCTGTGTGACAGAGGAATGTCGGACGAAATAAACACATGGCCTCATGAAGACACCCATATGAAAAATCAAATTTTCAAGAATTATGGATAATGACAAGAAAAAAACGAAACAAATGGTTGTAGCCATATTATCAATGAATCAAACTAACTCCATTTTCAATGCATTTTTCATCTCATGAATGCTGTAGCTGCGCAGTTCTAACTTGATTAATTTTCTTGTAATTAAGACAAAATAAACTTAATTGTTTACTAATTTTGGTCTCTAACAGTAGATAATTAGTGCATTAGCACTTTGAGTAACTTTGGGCTAGTTTAGTAGAGTATTAAGCGCATTCTTGGTATTTCTTAGTTTACACCAGACTAGATCCAATATGGCTTGTACATCCCCCTTAATGAAAACAAAAGTCTAAACAATTTTACATAAGGTAAAAATAGACAAAGGTGTGGAATGACTCATACTTATATACCCTTCATTTTGGGATTTTTTTTTCAGATTAGTTATGAATATAAGGATTCAGATTTTTTTCAACAAGTGGCTGAACGGCCTTAACAATCATATGAGTATAATACACAAACACTTGTACATGGATTTCAAAATTCAAAGGGAAATAACTTTTCTCAAAGTAGAATACAACTTTCTCTATTTGTTCAAACCCTAACCCAGAGGTCATGAAGTTAACAAATCTGGTAAAAACACTTTTGCTAATTACAACTCGCACATAATACTACAGTCAGATCTCAAAACCTCACAATGACTCACAAGAGTGACTCAGGTGACCTAAAAATGCTGAATGAACGAACACTTACCCCTGGTAAGTTTTTATACAAGACAATTCTATTTATGTTCACTGAGATAGTGTGCTATAAAGTCGTACTTGTCACTGGCTAATTTTCCACACATGTTACAACACCGGATGTCCATTTTATCGTGCATACTGCGATGGAGATGATACATGGCTGCGTCTTGGAATATAACACAACAATATTCACATTTGTACACGTCATCCCTAGACATCATATGTGTAAACAGATCCTCATTGGTAAAATTAACCAGACAGATCCTAGAGTTGGTACCTATGGAGGAGTTATAAAGACTAGGGGACGGTTTACTACTTAGGCTGTTATAGCGGGCCATGGATTTAGAACTTTTACTCATGGCAGGGAACAGCTGACATTTCTGTGGAGATGAGGACAGACTGATTTCTGAGCCAGACAAGTTGCTCTCACTTGTGACGCTGGCTCCGTCCCCCATATCCGCCTCGTCTCCTGAATCTCCCTGTGCCTCGGTGAAATTACTGTCCCTCACATTGATCTTCTCTTGTTTTAATGTCTTTTTCCTTGATCTCTTTGGTTTGGGTTCAAGAGAGCTAGTCGGTTCGGGGAATGATGCGCTGTCTGGAGGCAGACTGATTGTATCCATGTCCAGTGATCCCGCCTCCTCTAACTTCACGTGACAACTTTTGTTGGCTTTATCCGTGCCATCTTCTGCATTATCAGATGATCCCACAGAACTAAAATCTTCGATGCTGAACCGGTTTACGACATTTGGTTTTCTCCTGTGACTGGCAGTCCCCAGGTTTGCCGGGTTGCCTATATCTGTTTTAAACTCGGGAAAATTTAAACCAGAGAATCCTTGATGGAACTCGGAGGTTGAGAGATCTGGTAGGGAGCCTTGTTCATTGTGAACCTCCCGTAAATGTTGTTCTAGGCGCTGCTTTCGACAGAATCCCAGGCTACATATGACGCAGTAATAAGGTTTCTCTCCTGTGTGTGTTCGCTTGTGTGAGTTCAGATGGGAGGACTGTGCAAATCTAAAAGAATAGCAAACAGAGGAATTCATGAAGTATATGATTGTAAACTGAAGTTTAATGACAATGACGAAAGATATATTTTTAATAAATAAATCTTAAAATTTGAACAAAAGAGAGATATCAAATTGTTCATGTAAGTTTATACACTGTACAGTTACAGCTAACCTGCTTATATACATGTATGTAATGCATACACACTTATATAGCACAGTGATTTAACCGATTTTCATTCTATGTTCGCATACTTTAAAAGCGTATGATAAACCTAATGGATATAACAAGATTAGGTTTATAACAAATAACGGTAATGTTCCTCTCTTGCACTTTGCTATAAGCTTCTTTTACTGTAATTTTTAAAAATGACAAGTGAAAACAATGGTTGTTGTGTACAGTAGTGTAGGTACCTCTTCTGGCAGATATGACAGGCGTATGGTTTTTCCCCGGTGTGAGTACGGCGGTGGGTGGTCAGATGAGCTTTCTGGGTAAACCTCTTGAAGCAAACATTACACTGGTATGGCTTATCTGCTCCAGCCATCAATATTCCACCAGAATCCATTCTGATTACCAAACAGATTTTTAAAACAAAGATCTGTATTCTGCAGCCTCACAAATTATACAGGACTCTAAAACAAAACCAGAACTATCTTAGTACATGATGATACAAATTATTAATTTTATTTTATATTAGATTTTGTTTGTAACAGCAAAGGAGAACGCATCGTGACAGACTTGACCAGGATTCCAACCCAGACCTACTGAACCTCCAGTCAGGTGCTCTTTCACAGGAGTCATCTGGCCATAGGCAATTGACGCAATATTCCTCCCTCCCTCATGGTCTCCAGCCCCTAGAGACAACAACCACGGCTCTCTTTCCTGACAAGTCTTTCACTGTCACTTCAGGGCATGCCACACTACCAAATGTAATAGGAGAGAGAAAAATTTTACAGACCAGACGAGTGTGCAAACAAAATATCATTAATACGTGTTGCAGTCAGAGGGGTTCTGTGGCTGTCACATAGCTCAGTTCACAGAGTATCTGACATGATGACTGGAGATTCTGGGGGCCTGGGTTCAAATCCTGGTCTGGTCTGTCACATTTTTTTCCTCTCCCATTATATTAGGAGCTATGGACGTGACACGAGAAAGATCCTTCATTGCAGGGTTGCCTCTAGAACTCAGGGGCTAGGGAATTTACCCTATACAATGACATAATCCCTTCGTTATTCTGGTATTCCTCCATAACCCTCTATTAGGGGAGGACCCCTCAACATCCTTCTACCTTTTACATTTCTCCTGTTTTTTCAATCTTATTTTCAATCTTATCAACATACATTGTTTCAGGAAAGAGCCTGGGTTTGTGTCTTTGGGAGCCAATGATCTTTAAGGAGGGAGAAATGTGGTGGTCATGCAGACAGATTCAAGAGCTGGTGGCTAGATAGTTAGAATAATCCTCACCACAAATAAGGATGTTCATTTTTTTAACAATCAAACAATCTATCCACTGGCTAGATAGCTCAGTTGGTAGAGCACCTGACTGGAGATTCAGTAGGCACTGCTTCCAATGAATCCCAGTCTAGTTTGACACATCCTTCTCCTTTGAAGGCTTTCCCAGCCATTACAATTAACCCTTTCATGATAGCTGCGGTACTACTCATTTGCAGCCATTGCATGGCAAATTAATAACGCTTGGCAATGTTTTAGTTGATAGGTAATCATTTCGCCATGGAAAAGAGTAGTACAGCTCAGTTATTCTGAAAGGGTCTCGTTTTTTAAAATTAAAATATTATGAATATTTAATTATTTAAAATCATTTGCTAAGATATTGCAAATACCGGATAAAATGCAGAATTATTCACCTTTATTTCCGTTACCCTCTGAGTCTGAGGGAAGAAAATATTTGCAGCAGACTGATAGTTGAAGAGTTGAATCTATTTGAAGTCCTGGTCCTTCAGTGCATCGCACTTTTTAACATTATAAGACCTCAATGAATTTATAATCAAACAGTGCTGTTATACTGACTCCTCTGACACTCTTATATGCTGCACATAAATAACTAACACTCATGAAAATCGTCCAGAAATGTGGTTTCTTTTTGTTTACACCCCAAACGCCACCATGTTGAATTTGTAATACATAAACTATTCAACGGTACAGATCTACCGATTCCGGAAAACAACGTGTCCTTCACTCACTTACTTGCTCTTTTTTTCCACCCCTTCTCATTAATTTATTATTAATTAAATAATTCAAATTTTTATTTTATTTTGTTTTAGTTTATTTATCTATTTATTCACACCTGCTCACACTTTTTATTTATTTTTAAATTCATTTTTTAGTTTATTGGATATTTTATTTCATCTACTATATAACTATATAACGTTATACTGATAGAAATACAAAATCACTGATAAAGAGGAAAAACGATTTTCTTTGTGTAAACAGAAATGTCATTTCTTGAGAAAATTGTAAACCTGTTACTGTATGAATTTTCATTCTTTATACCAATGTCCCTGAACTTGATGGAATTATCTGGTCAAGGTTATGACACATCCTCTGGCTCCGGGGCCATGAAACTTAGATGAGTTCACTTTTCATCTCAGTCTCAATTTTCTACAACATGTATTTAAATGCCTTCAGTTGGCAAAACAGAGATTAGAAGTTTGAAACCAAAATATTAAATTAAGTGAGCTCGTCTTAGTTTTATGGCACCAGAGCCAGAAATCTTTGAACCAAGTAAGAGCTTTTTGTGGTCCTTCATTACGAATTTATAGGCCAGACAAGAGTTTTATATTATTCCTTACAGTGGCTTTGAAAACTTCCCGGAATAACTTGGGATTATATACTGGTCAGTTTTCAGGACCAAGGATCATGAAACAGACTTAAGTCAATCTCCAATAACATGTTTATTAATTCTTGATTCAGCCTTTAAATTTACAGATTAACATATTTTAAGAAGCATTTTATGCCTTTCCATTGACCTTGAACTTGTTGGAATGGCCTTGGATCAAGGTCTTGACACATTGTCGGTTTCAAAAAATAAGCAATCTCTGAACCAAATATGAACGTTAGGTGTTTCTCCAAAACAAAGTTATAACAAGGACCATTAGTTTTCAGAGACAGACGGACGGAAAAATACATCTGGAAAAGTGTTATCCATATTCGTTTGCGGCGGGGTTGTACACTTTATAGAAAGTTTACATCTTAAAAACTGTGGTAGGAGTAATCCGGATAAAAGAGGCACCATCTATGCAATATTTTGCAAAAACTGTATTTTTCTTATAAATCATCGAAAAATTTAAGTCCAAGTAAAATGCCTATGTCTGTATGTATCATGAAAATTTTCAATCGTAAAGATGTTTTGATCACCCCTCGTACATTTGGGGGGAAATGGGTGTTCAACCCTCTCAAATGCTACTTGACTATAACAGTATTCGTTGTCATCAATTTAAACTACTCGTACTTTGAGGCATTAAATCGCGTTGAATATTAGAATCAAACAAATAATATGAAATACATGTAGAAATAAATATAATATAATAATTCTAAATCAAGTCAAACAATTGACACATACGTTGATGATACGAGGAAATCGGCAATCTTATTAAATGTCGATGTCTGCAGATTGTTTTCCATTAACCGTATCATGAGATTGGGCGCAGTAGAAGTGACTGGTCATCGGAGGATGCTTATTCCTCCATGGCATCTGATCCCCCACTGTTTTCAATCTGAATTGACTCCGCAAGTAAAATATATTGTTAAAATGGAATTCTGGGCATGTTATCTTCACATTCCATTCTCAGGTTTTTTTAAAGACAAACAGTATTACATCACTGTGGTGTTGCAAACAATTATAATTTTAACAATGATGCATAATCAGTGAGTATGGAGAAACCGAAGAAAAATATGCACCTGTAAGGAGTGCTGGAACCACAACATGCAAAGGGCATAAAACTATTCCAAAAAATATGTACAATGAAAAGAAATTAAACATAAAAATAAATAAATCTTTACTATTTTGCAATGCGTTGTTTATCACTTTATTTATGAGATTGATTAATACAATTCATCATGTGTGTGCTTGTTAGGGAATATTTGCATAATTCTATAAAAAAAAAATTGTGATGAATCGCCTCGGAGAATTTACAACAGAACACAACAAAGATAGCTGAAGACTGCTCGTGGCAAATATGTCTGTCGCAGAAACCTTTTCCTCGTCCACAACTTTCCTGAAGATCTGCATGGTGCTGGCCCCTTTGCAGACTTTAGTGTATATAATTGGTTTTTCGTGCAACTACTGGGTCACTCAAAAACAGAAATATTTCGGTAATGAAATCAAAAGAAACGCAGGATTATGGGAGATGTCAACCTGTTTGTTAAAAATGTGTGGGAATGGGGAATTGGATTCCGTGCCAGGTAAGAGAATGTAATGCAGTGTTACACATATGGAGATAACGAACAGTATATCAAGATCAAAGTCCAAGAAACAATACAAAATAGGCCGGAGTAGGGCAAACACGGACTTCAAAAACATCAGAGGTGGGGTCAGGCCTGGGAGCCATAAAAATTTAGACGAGCTAACTTTTGATCTTAGTGTCACTTTTCCCAAAGGAATTAATAGTAAAAAAGTGAGACTGAGATCAAAGTGAGCTCGTCTAAGTTTTATGGCCCCTAAACCAGGTGCCGTGAAGGAGTGGGCATCCCCTGCCGACCGCTCACACCTGCCGTATGCTCTTTGTCATGATCGAGAAATAACGAAAAATTCCGTCGTCAATTCAGTGTATAAATAATGGACTAAAATTAGTATGAAAAAAACCCAGTCAGCATTTGACTCAATGATAAATTGTATTTCCTGAAAATATCATTGTATCGACCATAGAACTTATGAAATGATGACTTTAAACGAGCCTGCTGATATTCTTGTTTCATCAACTTGTTTGTCAATAATTTACCTCTTGTAGAAATTGTATATACATACAGAGCGTGCTCTTGCGTGTCGAATCAAGTGAGATATATAAACTTTGTATGCAGGAGATGAAGAAAGATTGCTAAAGGGAAGTTGACGATAGAAAAGTTTATACCTCATCACGTTTATCATAGAACTTGGTTGTTAGATAACCTCTAACGTCTTTTTAAGTAAAATATCTAATTATGAAGCAGATGTGTCAGACTCTGTGTTATCTTTTATCTCAAGCTTACCAGGATATATCGTATCGACATAAGAATGGAAATTACCATTGTTATTTGACAATGAGTCGTCGATATATCTAAATGTCGAGTTGAAGGCCGTAGCAAGTGTTTTTTTTTTCTTTTCATGCATAAGATTTTGCACAAATTCTGCTTCATATGAATACAAAAATAGGTCTGCTCACATCTTCGCTAGCCAAGGGTTTCTGATACGATACTCTCCTCATAAACCCTTGGCATACGGTGTTGATAGAAGTTGTGTTTTTTTTTCTCGAGTTCTGATTGGGATTCGGCACACCCGGTCGACCAATCAGCAATTGTTTTTTACTCAAGCCCTAGAGGGGCTTGAGTTATCTAAAACGATGCTAGGTCATCGATTTACTCAGTTTCAAAACACAAAAATATATTATTTTTGTAGATAAAAAGATTTCTAGAAACAAAAATGCAGCTTATCTGGAAAACATCTCTATATTCAAAGATATTAAGTGTTAAATATCGGATTCTATTCTATGGCGAATGAACAATGAGTGAAGTTCCGCAGCCGCAAGTTTCTATACAGAGATTTCGCGCTTTCTTTTGCGTAGGAATCTCAGGTAACTTTTTACAGTCGCCGACAAAGCATCCTTGGACGAGTCCACTGCAGACTCTGAAAGGTGACACAGGTTACCCCATCGTTAACAAATTCTACAATGCAATGCCAGAAAATGTATGGCTGTACCCCCCAACTGAAATTGCTTTTCACGGGCCTGCAAATGATATGTACTTTGAGTGACAGTAAAATGATAGCGCAAAATCAATGTTAAATTCTCGTATTATCTTAAGCTTTGGTAACGGAACCTATATAATATAATAACTTCTTTTGGATTCGTACGGAATATGTATTTGACATGTCGCTCAGCTAGATAAATCCCCTCGTCTCAAGACACGGTCCGGAGTAGGAGAGTATCGATAGTACATTTTGGCCGTGGTTTCCAACGATGGATGAACCCGTAGTCAAGTGGAATTTACTGGAGCCCTGAGCCCCCCCCCCCCTTTCCACTTAAAAAAAAACTTTCTTCAGGCTTGTAGCAAGCTATTTAGATTGATGTATATATTGATTGTGATGTACGTCATTAAGCAAAAAAATACAAAAAAGTATATAGTTTGAAGTATACTAAACGTGTACATTAAAACAATTCATTAAATTAATATAAAAAACGGCAAGATTACCATGCTCTATAAAATATTCCTGAAAGTGTGCAACGTAAATTCATCTTAAAAAGTAGTACAATTAATTATATTTCTTAATTAAATTCAATATACGAATTTTGTTTCATGTACATGTAGTTTATTCAAAAGAGGATTGAACTCAATAGCCCTCATCTTATACCATTTAAGGATATTAATGACGCTTCCTAATTGACTTTCTACAGCTTGAGTATTTCTGACGTTTTGTCAGTATATACTTGTTTTGTATATGACGATATTTGCGTTCGGGACACTTCTTGACTCTTTAATCTCGGGAATGAAAAACGCAAGTAAACAACGATCCGTAAGATAACATGCACTGCTATGAATGGCTATGGTGTCATCCAATATCTTCTAAATACGTGATTAAGAATATATATTGAAGTTGAGATTTGTACCATAAATAATAAATAAACATAACTCAATTATTGCTTCTTAATTATTTTTGAAAAAATCTTTAAACACGTGTCTTTATTTCTGTCGATGACGCAATCTGTGTGTATCTATCACGTGACGAAAACAATCCCGTCTTTTGACTTCATCGTATGCCAAGGGTTTATGAGGAGAGTAGCGTATCAGAAACCCTTGGCTAGCGAAGATGGTCTTCTCATGACCGGGCGCAATTGATACCCATGGGAATTCCAATAGATTTTTGGAGGAACTGGTCTCCAAAAGCAACATACAAGGAGATATTATCAATCAGAAACTTAAGCATCTTTTTGATGTGACTTCAGAGTACTTGTGTGTACAATCAGAATGCTTTTTAACAAAATAATTTTGCAAATGACCGATGATAAAGTAAATTTACGAGTTCCATTTTTATTGAAAAAACAGTTATCAATGATATCGAATAGCCTGGACTTTAATTTATTGTGGGGAATGGTTGTGTACAAAGTTAAAAAGTCGTAAGTTTTTAAGCTGTTTATCTTGTGATTTCAAATTGTCCAAAAGTTCCTTTGACTTTTTTAGTATCCTCATCTGATTTTCTTGAATATATTGTTGCACAGTACTCTTGAAGTTTCTCCTTCACTACTGTTAATATCTTATAGTGAGGACTGTAACATTTTTTTTAAGATGAGGTTATTTAAAATACTGCAGTATATTAAAAATATATTTTCCTAAGGGCAAGTGACGATGTCATTCAGAAATACCTCCGTATGTTCACAAAGTTAAAAAAGTTGAAGTTTGTCAATTCGAGTCATATAAAACTTATAATATGAGAGTATCTGAATAGTCACAAGTATTATGCATACATACATAAAGTTATTGAGTCGAAACACCTTGCACGAACTCGGGAAACACACGCAGAGAAGTGATTCTATGCATTTTTTTTTTGTTACTTGGGCTTGATAATTCACTTATCTGTATTAGAACTGTGTAAATAATTGAAATATTTATATAACTCCTATCTGAGGCGGGGTATCATTTTCTGAGTTTGGTGCTCACTTTACCTCGTTTTTTTTCTGTAAAAACAGTTGCATATTGGAATATTATTATCATTGCGTAAAGAGAAATGAAATATTACAACTAATGTAAGCGAAGACAATATTTTAATCACATGTCATGTTTTAATGTTTCAATATTTTTGACCTGTGAAACATCGTTTTCTCCTTCATCCAAAACCATTTTTTTTCATCAGACTGGCTCCACGTGACAAGGTTCTTCGCTGTGATTGGTCTGATCGGGTTTCTGTTGGTAACCGCTGGAGTGTTCGTCTGTCTGCTTGTGACTCAATTATCTCAGAGGCGACTAGTACATATTTTGACGACTGTGACTGCAGCAGGGACAGGTATGTGTTACTGGGGGTTATGCAGGTTGTAAACGGCAATAATCTCTACATAGTGTATTCAAAATTCACAAAGATTGAACTCTATTTTGCTTTTCCACGGGAAATACTGAGTAGTCCTTGGCCTTGGGTAACTGGATTATTCACTGTATAATAGTTTTAATCATATGCCAGTTATTCCTGGCGCACTAACGTGTGCATTATTTTTCAGGTGTAGCAGTGTTGGTCGCCATTGCTATATATGGCACTCATTACAATAACCCCCGAGAGGTCTCCTCTCCAAAACTGAATCTGGGCTCCTCCACAGGAAACATGGACCTCGGTCTTTCTCGTTCAGGATCTGATACAATCAACTGGGCTGGGAAACTATTTGGTTCCGGCATGCCCAATGAAACCACCGACCCTGGGTGGGCGTATGGACTGTGTGTGGCGGCTCTAATCTTAGATGTCATTACCACCATCTTACTAATTTTAAACACTGTCAAAAAACCCAATATTTAGACATATTACAAAATTGGTCATTTTCTGCATTACATATGTGCAAAAATTGTGATGATACCTGTGACCTTTGACCTGGACAAATCTTTTTCCCAAGAACTGTTGCATCTAATCTATATACTTCTTTATTTAAGAAGTTGTTTTTTATATTTAAGCCTTTACCTGTAGATCTACAATATATGAAATATACACTACTTATTCTCACACATGTTACTGATTGAATGTTGTGTTGTTTACATTTTTCTTTAAGGCATTAGTTTTATTCATTGCTAATTTGCTTTTATATCTGTTTTTTCTTGACATTTCAAGTCATTTGTAACCCTTCATTGTAACTTGTACTATTTCAATTTTTAAATTGAACCTTGAACTCCATCTTATAGTTCCGCCGAAATATGGCTGAAATATATGGCCGACTCGGCGTTAAACACCAATCAATCAATCGACTTTTCACCTTGTTTTTGAAAGAAGTGTACATCCTTAATCAAAGAGTAATTCGTTAAAATATTATTAAGATCTGCATCTTGAAAGTCTGTAGATGTATTTTCTTATACATTATATTTTTTTAAGAATGCAAATATGATTTGGTAAGTTGAGAATTATAACTTTCCAAATTGAAACTATCGTTTTGAAGGAAAACTATCTTATCAATAGTATGTCAAATGCGTAAATATTTACCAGCATGTAAATAAATATATCAATCTATGTTGTTTTTGGTGACTAGATCTTACAACAATCTATTGGAATTCCAATTGGTACAAATTGCACACCGTTCTTAGCAGACCTATTTTTTTATTCACATGAAGCAGAATTTTTGCAAAATTTTATGCGTGAAAAGAAAAAAAAATTTAAAAAATATTTCCTATGGCCTTCCACTCAACATTTAGATACATATATCAACGACGTATTGTCGATAAAAAATGGTAATTTCCATTCTTATGTCCATACGATATATCCTGGTGAGCTTGAGATAAAAGATACCACAGAGTCTGACACATCTGCATCATATTTAGATATTTTACTTGAAAAAGACGTTTATGCATGGTAATCTAACAACCAAGCTCTATGATAAACGTAATGACTTTAACTTTTCTATCGTCAGCTTCCCTTACTTATGCAGCAATATGCCTTCATCACCTTCATATTACATATCTCAGTTTATTAGATACGCAAGAGCATGCTCTGCGTATGACCAGTTTCTACAACGGGGTAAATTATGGACAAACAAGTTGATGAAACAAGAATTTCAACTGGCTCATTTTATTAAATTCATCATTTCGTAAGTACTATGGTCGATACAATGACCTTGTCACCAAATACAATTTATCATTGAGTCAAATGTTGACTGACGTTTTTCATACTAATTGTTGGTCCATTATTTTATACACTGGATTGACGAAGTATTTTCCGTTATTTCCGATCATGACAAGGAGCACACGGCGGGTATGACCGATCGGCAGGGATGCTCATTCCTCCATGGCACCTAATCCCACCTCTGATGATTCGGAGGTCCGTGTTTTCTCTGCTCCTATTACGATTGTTTTATGGACTTTTGATCTGGAACACTGTTCGTTATCTCCATATGTTTCAATAAAAGAGGAACAATTTTAGGCTATTCAGGTTTTTGAAACAAAAACGAAATGTCTCTTCTTTCCTCCTTTATAAAAAACATAGTAATATTGCATTTCGTTGAGGCTGACATTTAAAAAAATAAATAAAAATAAAACCATTGTCTACTAACTACTGAGTATATGAAATATTTATTACATACTGGGGTATTTAAAAATGAATATTTTATACAGATAAAAAAAAAAAAACTAAATGATACCCCCCGCCTCCCATATGGTTATAACTGGTGAAAAAATGTTTTCCTGTGGCCGGGAAACCCAAAATATGTTTTAAAATTGCACAATGGCAATATGTAATAAAGATTCTATGAAATTCTCATCAAATTTCATTCAGTGGTATGAGAGGAGTTGCTGCGATAAGAGATAAGTACCCCAAAGCGTAACAGACGGACGGACGGACGGACGGAATTAACGATTACTATATACCCTCCCGCTTTTCAAGCGGGGGGTATAAAAAAAACTGAATCTAAATTCAAAGTCAACTTTTTTAATGGATTTTACCGAAGTTAAACGATGCGATCTTTTGCTTCACCGGAGGCGTGGTTTCCTTGTTCAGAGGGTAATTATATTTTCAACAAATGGTTTTTTGTCTAAAACAATTCAACTAATATATATGAAAATTAATGAAAAAGAGTCATGATTACAAACAATGCTTGATCACAAAAATTATGAACAAAACTCGTGCACATCCCAGAGGTGGGATCAGGTGCCTCGGAGGAGTAAGCATCCCCTGTTTACTGGTCATACCCGCCTTGAGCCCTATAAGACTAGGTAGACGAAACAGTCCTTAGTAAAATTTAGGATAAAAACAATTAAAGGCCTAAAAATTGGTATGATGCAAGTCAGCAAAAAATACGGGCCATAGGTTATATTTGCTAGATCATTTGACCGACCATAGAATTCTTAAAGTATCGATTTTAAACGAGGTATTGAAATTCCTGTAACATCAATTTATCGTTCAGTAGCATGTCTCGATTAAATCTTATTCGGAGCATGCTCTTGAGTAACGAATTAGTTAGGAAATGTTAACAACATGTGGAAGTTATTACAATAGAAGAAAAAGTTTCCGATTGAAAAGCTGAAGACATCTCGTTCGTAATACAGTTTATTTGTCAGTTGGCCCATGTCGTCTAGAGTCAACGAAACAACCAAATCAGGCATGGCATTCTCTTATATGAAGGCCACAACAAGGGTTTTCTTCTCATGTGGATCTGTAAGTTTTTGAATAAATTCTGCTTCATGGGTATATTACTTTTTAAAAAGGTCAGCTTTTAAAGGAGAACACTTACTGTAAATCGGAAACAATGACCAAGCTATGAAAAGTCCGACTTCCGAAACAAGATGATTTGGGACTTGAGCTGATGGATCATAATGATTGGAACTTGGATTACAATAACACAAAACTTAGATTTAGGTTCTATAGGACTTTGGATTAGATTTGTGTTTTAGGTATTACTTTAATAGTTATCAGTCAAATTAAATAGGTCTATACCGGGCTAGTATATGGAATATAATAAAAAACCACTAACACACCATTTTATATCTGTAGGGTTACATTCTGCTTTATCTGCAATAAGTGTTCTGCATAACAATATTTTTAGCTTTAAACAATATAATATGTTAGTTTTCTGCATAATATAATTGTTTTCTGCATAATATAATTATTTTTTAACGTTTCGTTGCACTTAAATTTGAAAAAAAGTTTTTGTTTAAATTAAAGAAATGATATATTACAAAAATGAAATCATTATCCTACTGAAGACAGTGGGAAAATAGAGTACTGAATTTATGTTGTAAATATAATAATCACAATTTATCATAATCTCATGATTAAAAACTAACAACATACTATCAAAATATATAAGAATAACAAAATAAATGAAAAGATTCCTTTTTGCCGAGGAATTCTGCAAAAAAAAAAATTACTCCTTTTTTATTTCATATCTGGGGGATTAATATAAATATACAGTTAATCACGTGTTTGCTTGTCAGGGAAACATTATGAAAAAGATGTTATGATTCGTTTACCTTGTAGAATTTACTACTGGGGATGTGCGATTTTATCGGTATACCGGTATATCGCGATTTTTTGTTGCGTGATATGTATCGTGATACGGAGACCTAAATACCGGTATTTAGGTACATATTATAAAGTCCAGAAATTATTCATTTATTTGTTCAATCTTTCAAATTACAATTACAGAAAGTATAAAAAATGTTGTAAAAAGTGAAAAGAATGGCATCTTACCGTCCAAACATAATTGATTTTATATACATAAAAATTTCAAGAAGGTAAAATTTTGTTTTTCTAGCACTTATTTTTTTTTAGAAAAATAATGACTTTTCATACAAAAACTGCTTTTAAAAATATCATGATATTATCGTGATATTGTGGGGAAAAATCGTGATATATCGCGATACGAAATTTTTGGCGATACCCATCCCTATTTACTACAGAAAACAACAGAGGTAGTCGCCCGTACAAATATGTCTGTCACATAGACCTTTGCCTCGTCCAAAACCTTCCTGAAGATCTGCATGGTCCTCGCCCCTTTGCAGACTGTGGTGTACATTATTGGGTCCTCCTTCAACAACTAGGAGACGATAAGGCGACAATTTCTAGGATATGAAATGAAAGGAAGCGCGGGGTTATGGGAGAAGTCAGTCTATTACCTAAAACTCTGTAAAACGGAGGAATTAGATTCAGTGCCAGGTAAGATACTTTATTCTTATTTATAGAGATGACGCAAAAGAAACCAGAGGATGCGTGCAGAAACAAAAATCGTAGATACATGTATGTATACATATCAAAATGTCGCAATTTAAAAATTGCCAGGGTTGGGCTAGCTTGAGTAAACTGAATAGAATTTATCAAGAAAGTTGAATTAAATTTGATTCCAGGTTTTCAGAGAAGATAAGCTATGTACGGTGTTTCGAAACCTGATACACTATTTTTTGTTTGTTTTACTTCCCTCCGAGAATTTTTCAATGGTATGGTCATGGAGACACCAGTATACTTGCTGGAGGAGAACTGCGAAGTTAGATACTGTAATTATTACCTGCATATGTAGTTTATTTGATTCGATCCTTTTCAAGAGAATGCTCTACGTACGAACTATGCTAAAGAGACAAACTATTGACAAATATGTTGATGATACAAGGATATCAAACAATTTCGCATACGCCATAGAGTCAGTATTTTGCAATTTCTATGGTCGAAACTGGTTATTTCGACTAATGACTGGTGTTTTTATACAATTTGTTTATAGATCATTATTTTTGTCTATAATTTTTCCGTTAACCCGATCTTGACAAAAATCACATTTAAGGCGGGTGTGACAGGTCGGAAAAGGATAGTTACTCCTTCACGGGACCTTTTCCTCAGCATTTAGAGGTCTGCGTGGTTTCTTTTAAGTCGCTCAATTGTTCACTCAAAGGAAGGTTTAATTCCCATACCATTCTGCTTGCCACGATGAAATTTAATAAATCCACAGCTTTAAAAAAAAAAGAGTAAATAAAACTATAATGGCTCCTGACAAATAGTATAAAATGCATGTATTTTGGATCGTTTTACTCAAGTAAAAAGTATCGAATATTATTGTTGGCCCTCTCGACCTCTTTAAAGCATTATTTGTCCTGGTTTCTGACCCTTTGTTATTTTTATGAATAGAAATTGTTGTTTTCTTCGACAGAAATTGCTAAACTCTTCACCCTTCATCTAACTATCCACGGAGTGTTATGCCTGTCCCAGAAGTCGACCTTACTTGGCTTTTGTTTTTATTGCTCGTATAGATGCTTACGTAGAACTGTCCTGTTCTGATGAATGGATACGAACATACTTCTTTAGCACATATTTAATTGACTATAACTATAGGTGGACTTCTTATTTTTAGTGATTTTAATTATAAAGAATATTTTGAAAAATATTTTTCCTAAGCTGTTTTAATATATGTATATCCCAGTATACTCAAAATAAAAGACCAAAAATATAACACACCTTGGTCACTTTGGATCTTTTACTATAGGAAGCCATCGGTGGCTTACTGACAATTTAACTCTTTGATCAACTTATCTGTC